AAGTTTGCTGACATTGACAAGAAAAATTTGAGAATTGTTTTAAATTAAGAACAAGAGGAAGTTAGAGAAATGCTCAGGATAAAGCCCTATTACATGGACAAGTTCTTATATTGCTCAGAATGGTTATAACAGGTCTAATTGCACCACCTGGATCTGGTAAACTATTTCACTTATTCTATACCAAATGCAAGCCTGCCACACACAACAAGAACTAGGATAGAAGAACCCATTCTATGAGTTAGTTGTTATTTGTTTCGACTTCTTGGTCAATTTGACCAAAACGCTCAATTCGTTCAAAAGTATTATAAAAGAAGTCAAGTTTAAGGTTATGTATAAAAGTGATACTGAGTGTTAGATTGATAAAGAACGTTACCAAGAACGAGTTTTGAAGTATAATGCTATCAAATGAGTATATAAATTCTAAGATTTAAAAGACCCAATAGGAGGAAATGCAGATGAGAATATTAGAGGAGAAACACTTCAGAAACAAACAGAAAGAGATAGAATACATTTCGGAAGAAATTGCAATCTACGATGGGAAGACTTTACCCTCATAGATGGTTTCTTATCTTCAGATGATTTCGCCTCTCATCCTTTGTTAAAGAACAGAGAACAAGATATGTGTTCGAATTTCTTAAGAAGCCTCAGATTACTTACATCTCAGCTGTCATTGTGTACAGACAGCAAAGAGTTTAAGTAAGGAATGTTTTAAAAGAATAACTTTACTGACATAAAATACTTTTCCCCGGATTGTCCGAGACGAATTTCATGGAATTATGAAAGAGTCCATGGCAGTAAGTTTGAACAGACATGAACTATGGGAGAAGTACAAAGTCATACAAGGACCCTCATACTATCTTTCAGAATTCATATCTATGCGAACAAAGTTTCAAATTGTGGTTAAATGGTCAAGCTGGAAAATAAAGAGTTCATCTACCCTACTTGTTTGAAGTTGCACAAATACTACTTTGTATTTTTTCTTTCAGTAATGTTAAGAATTCTTCTTTGAATGTAAGTATTGTACAATCTTTATATTCATAGGTGTTTGAAGGTAAACGTATCTTGAACTATTTGTTTCAACATCTTCATTTGGGGTCATTGAAATCGTTAAGTTTTCGCGATAGAACCAATTCTGTCAGATTTGTAAATCTTAGCAAGGTCGTAAAAGCTTTTTGTTGATTTCTTCTGACTAAATGCAACCATAACCATGTCACTGTCTCATATCTTCAGTCTATAAATATATATAATTATGATCTTTCCAATTAACAACCTATTTACCAGACTTGTACCCCGGTACCGAAACGTGGTATTCTTTTCTGAAGGCTTTTGTCTTATTGCTTCATATGACTTCCATCTTGCTTGAAGTTTCTTTTCCATCTCTTCACGTTCTGCTTTATATAGTTCATCTAACATCATGAAAATAAACAAGCATAACGAGGTGAAGCCCACATTGCTTACAGCATTTTATTAAAGTCTATGAATATGAATAACCTTTCAAACCAGGGCCAAATTCTTGCGATTTTCGTACGGAATCTCTTCTCTCGGTTTTCCACGAGGAAGCAATCATATGAGGAAATTCTTCTAAAAGTTCTTTTGTCTGTTGGTTTTTCAAACCAATGATATGCTTGCTTTGTAGAACGAGAGCATTCATTATACTTTGCATCTGGTACATATCGTCTTGAACCGAAACGAATGAGGCGAAGTTGTTTGTCATAAGATATTGTATGTATTCGTATTCTTCATTATGGCTTCATGGACTATAACTGTTGTTGTGGTTCTCTTGTTGTTGACATTACTGTCTTTACATACAAGATAAAAAAAATAAATAAAAATAAAACTAACTTTTTTTTCTAACTAATATGAATTCATTATTTTTGTGCTGAATTCAACTAAAAAATATATTTTAGGGTAGATGGTTAGATCTAACCCGATATCTAACCTCATTTCTACCCCAGTTATTTTATAAAACGTTTTACATGGTAAAAACGTTATTTTTGGAATTTTTGTGAAAACCTTCACGGTTTGACACAGCCCTAAAAAATTATATTTTACATCAGGAATTACATAAGCGATACTGTGCCGTGAACTTAAATACAATATAAATTTTAGGGTAGATGGTTAGATCTCATACCCGTATATACACCTCATTATCCTTCACCCTCTATGAATTTTCATGAAATTATAATATTAATGTATTTCGTTAAGCCACTTATGTGCCGTCAGTCAGTCAGTCAGTTATATGAAATTTACACCAAAAAATATTTTTAGGTAGATGGTTAGATCTAACCCGATATCTAACCTCATTTCTACCCCAGTTATTTTATAAACCATTTTACATGGTATAAACGTTATGAATTCGTGAGATTCTAAACAGTTTTGTAGCTTCTATTTCTTCGCTGAGAGTATCAAAGGAATTTTAACGATACCGAAAGTTTCTTCATATACTTCTTCTTGACGTCAGATAGAAGGAAATCGTCAGCAGTTGGATAGTGTTTTGTTCAGAAATGACAGCATGTCCATTTTATTTATCTACCGGCTTCTCTGCTTCTTTCTTTAAGTCAGCATAGTCGTTTCGCAATTCCTTCTATCTCGTTGACTGAGTAGTTATATTTCTTTTATGCTGCTTTACATTTTGAGACACATTGCGAGATCATTTCTTGCTATATCACATTGAAAAAAACCAGCTAGAACAACCAAGGCGTCAATGGTTTTCTTTAACTCAAATGGTCCTGCTGGTTTTTATCATTCCCACACTGGATCTTCACTTCCATTCCCCTTACCTCTTCGTATCTTCATATCTATCTGCCCATACACATTTTGCAACTTAATGAAAAACAACGTTTCGTATGTCTAAATAACTGACATCCGATTTATATATGTCACAGAGATGTTTCTTAAAATATCTAGACCTGTCGCACAAATCTTTCCGTCCATAACTTATGGGTTGCTAATGAATATCCTACTGAAACTCATTAGTTACTTCGGTCACCGTAATGACCACTCCCTTTATTACACTTAGAGTCGAGTTAGTTGGTTTCACTTCATTTCATCGAAATTCAGGAATATGTGAGCTTTTGTTGTTTGTAGATTTCAGGCAATATGGAGTCAAATGAGTCAATAATGTCCCTGCATGTCATAAAGATATTGGCTTCATTTTCTTCAATCCTGATCATATGCCGGTACAGTCTAAATTACTTGTTTACAAAGTTCTTGCTTTATTATATTGTTATTTCTGTTTCAAAGTAACATGCGAAGGAGAGAATGAAGCTTTCTCATCTCTACCTCTCAACTTATAGATGTCTTGGATTCATGATAGACGTAAGTTGTGGTGCTGTTGTTTGATATTGCTTGTTGTGCCGATTGTTGATTGAGATCATATCTTTTTGATACAAAAAAATAAAAAAATAAAATATAAAATAAAACTAACTTTATTTTCTATCTTAAGGAAAATCATGAAAATTAAAACATGAGAAGGTAGATATACGGGTTAGATCTAACCATCTACCCTAAACATTATTTTTGGTGTAATTTCATTGACTGACTGACTGACTGACGGCACAAGGTGGCTTAACGAAAACATTAATATATAAAAATTCATGAAAAATTCAAGACCTTTGGGTCTCGCCGCTTAGCGGCTGAGGGTAGAAATCGGGTTAGATATCGGGTTAGATCTAACCATCTACCCTAAAATTATTTTTGCTGAATTCAGCAACAAAAGAACGAGGTCAGGATGTATGTAATACCTTTGAATTCATTTATAACGCCCTTAGTAAGCTCATAAAATGCTTGTTTTAGGTCGAGCCACTTTTGGCTCCACCGTATTCTTTCAACCAACTCCATTTCCTGCATGAATTTTGATAAAAAAGCAACAGTCCGAAATTCCGGCGGTTGCATATATTTTCACAAAATGCCTTATAATACTCTTCCCAGGACTTATTTTCCAACAACTTTCTAAAGTCTTTCCTAAACTGCTGACACATATTTGTTGCATTAATGTACTATCCTTGTCTCTACGTAAGACTTCAATACGTTATAAGTGCCTTTTGTGAATGTTTCGCCATTAGATTTATTCGTGAAACGTTTTTGCTTTCGACTGACATTACTGTTCTCTAAACATTACCAAAATAAACACACAACAAAAAAAATAACCACTAAACATAAAACTAAACTTACTTATTTATCCCACTCTTACATGGCAATGGACATGAATTCAAGTAAAAGGCCGGCATAAGAAACTCGCGAGATTAGAACCTAATTCGGGCTATCTAACCATCTACCCTAAACATTATTTTTGGTGTAAATTTCATTGACTGACTGACTGACTGACGGCACAAGGTGGCTTAACGAAAACATTAATATATAAAATTCATGAAAATTCAAGACCTTTGGGTCTCGCCGCTTAGCGGCTGAGGGTAGAAATCGGGTTAGATATCGGGTTAGATCTAACCATCTACCCTAAAAATTATTTTTGCTGAATTCAGCAACAAAATGAACGAGGTCAGGATGTATGTAAATACCTTTGAATTCATTTATAACGCCCTTAGTAAGCTCATAAAATGCTTGTTTTGAGGTCGAGCCACTTTTGGCTCCACCGTATTCTTTCAACCAAAACTCAAGAATTTCCTGCATGAATTTTGTATAAAAAGCAACAGTCCGAATTCCGGCGGTTGCTATATTCTTCACAAAATGCCTTATAATACTCTTCCCAGGACTTATTTTCCAACAACTTTCTAAAGTCTTTCCTAAACTGCTGACACATATTTGTTGCATTAATGTAACTATCCTTGTCTCTACGTAAGACTTCAATACCGTTATAAGTGCCTTTTGTGAATGTTTCGCCATTAGATTTATTCGTGAACGTTTTTGCTTCGACTGACATTACTGTTCTTACATACAAAATAAAAAAATAAATAAAAATAAAACTAACTTTATTTTTTCTATCTTAAGGAAATTCATGAAAATTCGTGAGGGTAGAAATGAGGGTAGATATCGGGTTAGATCTAACCATCTACCCTAAACATTATTTTTTGGTCCGGGAACAACTTTCTCTCAATTGGAGCTGTAGCATACTCTTTGCGTAAGCGGTTCAGACCTTCTTCGAAGTCTTGGTCTCTCTTCGATTGAGATTGGAATTGGAATTGCTGGGGTGGAGCTTGCTGGAACAACCAAGGGTTGGGGAAGTAAGGCATAGGCTGAGGAGGGTAGTTCGGGAAGCCTTGTGGTGGGTAGTAACCTTGAGGTGGAAATTGGTAGTAATTCGGAGGTACTTGCTGGAACTGAGGTTGCTGAGGAGACTGTTGTGGTTCTGCAGCTTTCGGTTCTTCTGGCTTTGGAAGGCATTCAGGAAGAGGAACGTCAGTCATCCGTTTGTGTCCTGTCGGAAGGAAGAACTTTTTCTGTCGGAAGGAAAAACTTTTTCTGTCGGAAGGAAGAACTTTTTCTGTCGGAAGGAAAAACATTTTCTGAAGTTCGACCAAAAAGTTCTCAATTTTCGAAAATTTGAATGGTTTACGGACGGACAACTGGAAGAGTTCTTCCTGTCGGAAGGAAAAATTTTTCCCTTTGTCGGGAAAATATTTTCCTGTCGGATGGAAGAACTTGGAATGCAAGAAAGACTTCCTCAGGCAGAATGTAAAAGGCAAGCTTGTTAACGGTTGGATAACGGGAAGGGCTGCCTTGAATCTCGAGATTTCGACTGGAATTCCAATTGAGGTACCAGAAGGCACTCCTTTCGACGACATAAAGCAAGCAAAGAAAGAAGCCATTATAAAGTTCTTTGCCAAGCGTCCTTGGATACTACTTCCAAACAGAGAGAACCCTTTCCCAAGAATGAACCAAATTCTCAAGGGTCTCCTTCACTTCTCTAGTCAACCATTCTTTATAACTACAGAAGGCGACATTCAGCCAGTTCAGTAAACATCTCATTTTAACTCACTTTTGTATGTTTTTTGTGAAAGTGTCAAAAATAAATTGTTTTCATGAGTTTTCTACGATGTTAGAAAAAATGTTATTTTCTAATATCTTCACATTCAATACTTTTTCAGCACTTTTCCGTAGTTATATATGAAAGACAATTCGAGATAAAAGTCATAGTACAATGGAATAATATGTTGCACACCATTTGTTGTGAACCAAACTTGAAAGTCAGAGAAACTGTTACTAGGTGGTTCGTAGAATTTAGAAGCAAAGTCATAAAGGTCCTTACCAATACATAGAAAACTATTGTTGCTTGAACTGAAACTTGCATGACACATAACATTTTGAGGGTCAAACACGTTTCTATAAACCATCAAATCTGCTGGTGGAAGTATAAATTTAAATGGACCATCTGGTGGTAATGGTTCGTTCTGGTTTAGTAACCGAAGAAATTGTGCCCAAGAACGTTTGTCTACTTCCCAAAATAAAAACTCTGTATCTCTTGGAGGGTTAATTTTAATCTTTTGAAATGAAACGGTGGAGTTCATCTTGTCATATTCTAGTTTCAGATAGTATGTTCCATTTAGTAAAGAGTCGTATTTTTCTTGAAATTCCCAATAATATTTGTTCATTTGAGTTTGAAAGTCATTTAGAGTTTTCTCAAGACTTTCGTCTGAACGAACTGTAAAGATCCTCATTTCGTCAAATTTGTCTATTAGACCATCAGGACCTTCATACTGCCCATGAAAATATACTGCGAACATAAATGCGTTAGTTCTATTTGAAAACAAAACTCTTCTAAATCCTATTGCCTTTGCATCTGAAGGACTTTGAAGCCAACGAATTGGATAGTCAAACCTGTATGCTCGGGATGAAATTTCTTCATCTGAAATAGTCCTACCAGCATTTGTAAAGATATAGTCTAACGGTTTTGTATCTGCTACTTTTGTTCTTTGTTTTTCAACCTGAAGCATTTAATATATGTAAAAATATATTGTTTTAAAATGGTATGCCATATAGCTTCTTGAATTTGTTAAGAAGTATTTGAACGTATTTTCCATCTGTATCTCTAGTGTTTACATAAGCATAGCCCGCCTTAGTAAAATATACTTGTAATTTCCTATAGTTTACGCCGGTATAAAAGTAGAAAGAGTCTTGTTCTTCGCTATAGTAGTAAAACTCAAACGTATGCTTGCCATAGTCTGTAATTTCAATTGTTTCATCTTCTAGTTCGTCGACAAATTCGAATACAATATCTCCAAATTTGCCTTTGTTCTTATTGTTTTCAGAACGAGTGACCCAACGTAAGTTTTCAAGTCTATTGTCGTTTCTTATATGGTTTATATGGTCTACAAAAGGTAAATTGTTAGGATTCAGTATAAAATGAGTTGCAATGACAACATGTTTAAGATAGTGTTTTCCACCCATCTTCATAATAGCATATCCGTCATTTCGCTCCCATTCGCTTAAAACTCTTTTTGTCTTTTTGTTTCTGACTTCAAATGACTCACAACAGTGAATTTCATATTTCTCATCTAACAAACAAGTTTCCTTCAACTTGAGGTTCACTAACATCGAAAGGCATGTCCATAAGACGTTCTTCTTCTAACCTCTCTAGTCTGTTTGGATAATTGGCACGTGCTGTTTCCAAATCCATTTCGTAGCAAAGACCAGACAATTTGTCATAGACTTTTATGGGTCTTCCCTTCCTATATTTAAAATTCTTCGAAACTTTCCAACCATATCTTTGTAACTCTGCTTTTATTCTAGCAGACTTTCTGTCCATTCTATATGGGGGCATTTTTATAAAAATAAAAAAATATTTTTTTCTTTACTTTACATAACCGCCTGCTGCCATAAGTCTTTGACGCCAACCCATACCAGCTAATGAAGGTTGACTTGGTTTAGTTTGGAAACTAAACTTTGGTTTTGGTTTATCTTCGGTTTTTGGTTTTTCTTCTTCTATCGGTTTTTCGTCACTTTTCGGTTTCTCTGACTTTACTTCACTTGCAGGAACAGTTGTGTCGTCAACATCTTCATAAATATCATATGCCATTTGTTTTTGTTTTCCTTTCAACTTTTTGTGTTTGTTGTAAAGTTTAGAATATTTCGACTCTAAGTCAATGAGATGTTCTATAATGAACTGTTGGTCAGTGAAGTAAACTTTTCCATCTGTTGTCTCGAAAGCTCCTTCAGACTTCAATATTTTATTTGTGAGAGTCTGTTTCTTTTTTGAGATACTAGCCGTTCCATTTCTATGAAAAGTGACTTTATAGTTAGGGTTTGTATTTCCAGACCTGGCACTTTCTATTATTGAATTTTTCTCTTCATCTGTAAGTTCTTTGACAGGTTTTGACAATGGTTCTGAACTTTTTGTTTGTGGTGTCAAATCTACCGTTTCAACTTCTTCGGTCATTTCATCTCAGTAAAAAATTTTAGTTTGGTTTGTTTTCAACTGGTTGTTGTTGTGGAGGTGGGATGGTTCCTTTAATAATATCATTCAGTTTCACATGCTGAGCCTGACTATATGATATCGGTTTAAATGCTGGAAGCCGACAAATCCATCTTGAACTCATTTGTCTCAATGCTGCATTGTTCATTTCATCTCAATAAAAAACTTTACATTCCCCACGTTTGAGGCGGTTGAGGTTGGTTATTGTTTACCCACTGTTGTGCATGGTTATAGCCTCTGTTAAAGAATCTTTCACCTTGGTCCATATAGTGTCCTGCTTGGTTATAGTAGTCATTTGCTTTGTTATAATAGTTTCCTGCTTGTCTTCCTACATTGTCCATCCATCCTTGAACTTTTCCTCTTGTTTCAGGATTTGGAATAAGATTTGTTGCATCTCGTGCTACATCCCAACCTTTCTGTACAGTTTGTATAATAGGTTGTGCTTTCTCTTTAAGTATACCTAATGTACTCAAAATCTTCCTTCCAATTCCAAATGCACCTCTGGCTATTGTTCCCACTGCGGGTAAAAATCTAGATGCAACTCCTGCTAATGCGCCAAATAAACCCATTTCTTATGGGTTAAAAAATGACGAATCCGAACAAGGACCCGTATGTTTCTAAAGCGACAAAGAAAGCACTCATGATAAAAATCTTTAGTTCAACACCAAATGCTTGGTTTATGGATATCTTGGAAAACATTCCGAGAGTTAGAACAGATGGACCTCCATACTGGTTAATATTTGTTGGTCAAAACACAAGATACTGTGAAGCCATACCATTATGGTCCAAAAATATTTTAGATGTGAAAACTGCTTTGACAATATTCGTTGACAAATACCATCCAACAAAACTGACATCTGACTGTGAAAGTTCTTTCAAATCAGATGATGTAAAAAACTATCTGCGTTCAAAAAATGTAAACCAATATTTCATTGTCGACCAAAACTATTCTGCTCTTGGTGTCATTGACGGTTGTATAAAAATGTTAAGAGACTTAAACCAACCACAAGGTGGTGAAGCAAATGAAATGTCATATGACGACAAGTATAGACACTTCTCCATGGCAAAGATGAGACAAGTTTTAAATATTTACAATAACCGTAAACAAAAAGGTTTGGGAAACCACTCCCCGAAGAAATGAAAAACAACCCTGACTTAGAGAAAGACTATATATTTAATAATTTAGTCAAAAGAGACAAACAAGAAAGAATGCCGGGCTTCAAACTTCAGAAAGGTGACAAAGTAGGGTTGTTAGATTCCCGACGATAGGTGTCTTGGAAGATTTGCCTGGTGTCATCATAGTGTCTTTAAATCAAAAATTTTATTTTGGAGTTAGTTTTATTGATTTTTCAATAAAAAACATTTCTAAAACAAGAAAATAAAACGATAAAATATTTATATTTTATATAAGGATCTTATATATTTAAAATAAATATCATTTTATTTTTTTAATTGGTGTCTGTCAAACCATAATACACTATTCAAAAATTCAATGTGTCTTGTGGTTTCAAAAGACACCTTCAAATTGAACGATAGCACAGACACTATTGAATTTTACCCATTTTATTTAGTTTTTACCCTTTTATTTTTAAGAATTAATGACTGAAACAGCCGTTTTGCTATGACCTCAATCACTTTTATTTATTATTTTAAATATTATTTAATTTTATTATTTGAATAGGCCAACTTATATTTGAGAAGCTCAATTTGAGACCACTTAATACATTGAAATATCATAAATATTGAAATATTAAAAAGTGTATTTCAAAATATTGAAATTATAAAAATTTATAATACTGAAATTGAGACAAATTAATAAATTCAATGTTTTTTTTTGAAATAACTCTCAAATATTATTTTTTTTTGTTTATTTAATGATGAATAAATATGATTGCTTTAGTCAATCATAAAACTAATTTAAGTTTAAAATAATGAAAGGATAATTTGATCTTTTTTTAACATACAATTATTTTTGATGATTTGCAAGAATCTTTGAAAAGAATATAATATAGGTTCTATTTTTGTAAAATTTATCCAAATCATGTATTACATAAATTACAATTAAAACGATGAAAGAACCAAAAAGTGTGTTTTGTGTTTTGTTGTTGCGTGTTGGATGCGGGATCTTGTTATTTCCGAAATCGACAAAAAATTTGGAAATTTAATTTCCGAAATCGAAATTATATTAATGTTTTTAATATTCTTATATCAAAAGGATTAAAGTTCATTAAGAGAAAAACAATTCTTCTTCTTCAATCTATTGGCGCATTTATTTCTACACCATGGTGTCTTCAAAACGCTAATTTTTGATATTTTTAACAACCCTATGACAAAGTAAAAATAGAAATACCTAAACGCGACCCATATGAAAATACTATTGACTATGACAACAATGGGAACCCGACAGGTACTCACATTCGTGTTCGTAAAAATAGAAGAAAGTATACAAGAGAATATTATGAAGTTTTAGGCAAACATGGCAAAATGTACACACTGCAAGCAGAAGATAAAACTACTATTGTCAGACCTCGTTTCAAACTTGTCAAAGTTCAAGGTGGTATACTTTCAAAGACAGTTCCTGACAAATATAAGACAACTCCTGACGAATATGCTAAAGAAGTTGAAAATGACGACTAAGCAATTCTATACCATGCGTAAACTGTCATGTAAGGTGGCATGTATTCTTTACTTTGTCCCGTTGTTTGCGTATATCCTGAAACGAAATGTGTATGGTTTCCTTCTCCCTGCGTGTTATTCCAGTAACAATTTATAGCAAACTTAACGTCGTCTTTAACATCATATCCTTTCCCTTTTGTCATTCCTGACCAATCCCAATATCTATGACTATGCCAACCTGCTTGAGATGTACTTAAATCTATGTAATGACTGTGTGCAGGTAAATTTTCACCTGAAATCGTTTAACTTCCACTTGTTTCCTTTGAAGAGTTTGCACAATACAAAAACCTGTCGACTATTTGTTCCCATGCACCAACACCAAACATTACTTGAGGACCTCTTGCATCCATAGATGTATAAATAGAACCTACTGGGTTCATTAAATCAAACATATGAGATATTATAGGATTGTCTCTTTTGAACTTAAAATATAGTGCAACTATTTCAGGTTTCTTCTGGTTTGTGTCAGAATATTTTTTATAATATAATCTTATGTTTTCAGGGTAGGTAAAATCTTGACTATAATATTTATTTCTGTCATCTGTATAATAATATACTATTCTCGTTTTTTCTATTGCATTATATCTTTTATATCTATAATAATCTAAATATAATGTTAGCTTTTGTTCATCTACATGTGGTGTTCTGTCGTCATCTCCATAGTCATAATAATGTGGTGCTGGAGCTGGGTCAGGCAATGTCATATCTGCCATTTCATAAACTCTTAAATATTTCTTTTGTTCGTCTCCATATAAGTTTAAGTAGCAGTTGTTGTCTAATGGAACTTTAACTTGTGTACCATCATTCTTTTTATAGCTTACATACATTTCATTGTTATTTTTCGGAATGAGTTTATGCCGTGTACCATTTTTTAAGGACTGTACTAACTGCCATCTAAAATATTTATTTTCTTCATTGACAGAAAAGTCACCAACAATAGTTTCAATATTTTTTGTTCCTATCAAACTTTGGTATATTTCATTGACATATGTTTTATCTGCTTTATTTTCAAGGCTAACGTTTAAGTTTGTAATATCAGATATAGAATGTGTATGTCCAACGGCACTTTTCCTGTTTAAGGTTTCTTGTAAGTTTGTAATATCAGATATAGAATGTGTATGTCCAACGGCACTTTTCATGTTTAAGGTTTCTTGTAAGTTTGTAATATCAGATATAGAATGTGTATGAGTCTTATCTGCTTTTGTCTCTAATGTTTCCTTAAGACTTGGTATTTGGTTAATATAATGTATATGAGTCTTTTTAGAATATTCGTTTTCAGCTCTTGTCACTTCACTTGACATTTTATTGTCAACATATGTTTTGTCTGCTAGTTCAGGATGAGTATGTTCTTTTGTTGCATAAGCATTGTTAGCTCTTTCTTCTTCTTTTGCTATTGCATCGTCTACATATTCTTTGTCAGCTTGTTGTCAACATCTGCTTTCAAAAGAAGTTCATTTATAGGTTTCTCGTTTAAAGTTTCTTTTGTTGATTTATACAGACAGTATTGTTCTTATTGTCTTGAAATAGAAACTCATCTGTTATAGGGTTTAATGTCAGTTTTAAGTCACCCCCTTTCAATGACTCAGATATCTTAGAAATAGTTTGAAAAGTTTGTTGTGTTCTATTTAGAGCTTGCATAATGAGTTGTCGGTTGTGTTGTATTTCTCTCATAGACGCTGTTTCATTTGACATTTTTATTATAGATAAAATATGCTTCCAATAGAAAAAGAAAATTCTAGAGTTGCTACAACTAAACCATTAGATGAACTTTTTACTAATGTCGGTCAAAAGTTTGAGACAGATACCGTAAAGCATGAAGGCTATCGTTTTGACTACCCATTAAGATGGTTAAGAGACCCATCTGTCACAAAAGCTATTGGCTTTCGAAGAATAAAGTTCATTTCAGAAGCCATACATGGTTTCCCATTTACGGTCGGTTTTGAAGTTCGATACTATAACAAAGAAAAACGTATGTATGAGAAATTTGAACAAGGAAAACTTTTACAAGTTAATTTGCTTATAAACTTAGAAACAACTCTTCAAGCTTTTCAAGAAAAAATAAACGATATCTATATTGAATATGCAAACCAGTTTAACATTGACGAAGGAGAATACCATCTCGATATTATTTATGACAGGAAAAATGCAACTGTTAAAATCAATAAAATAGAAGACCTTGGAGAAAACGTTTATATTTCTACAAAATATAACAACTTGGCATGGTATAGATTTATGAGGATGTTAAATCAGCCTGCAGCATATCCAGTACACCCGGACTATTATGAAGTCGAAAACCCTAATGGAACATATGAAAATATTTTCGACCCAGATGCTATTATTGTTCATGCTTCATTTTCTGGTGCGCAAAACTCTTTCTTATGTCTGATGAATGACTTTTACGAAAAACCTACAAAGTTATATGAACCGCCGAGTGGAAGTATTTCAGACTTTCAAGTATGGTTTACTACAGATGGAAGAAAAAGAATAATTCCATTATACCATGCGTTTTACTTAGAACTTAGTTTCATATACAACTACTATCGAACGATAAAAATATAACTTTTTAATATACCGGTTGTGGTTGCCAACTTGACTGTGTGCAGGTTCAGGCTGTTGTATTACAGGAGCTTGTTCTTCTGGTTCAGGGTCTTTAGGTATAATACCAACAAATTGACCTACTCTTTTACCAATATTTTTGACACCGTTCCATACTCCTCTTCCGACAGATTTTTTCCATTCCATATACCTCTTCCAACATTTCGAAAGAAGTTTCCTATCTTACTGAAGAAACCATTTTACTATATGTAAAAATCTAATGTCCGCCTAGTCTCTTACGTTTCCTGTTGAGTTCCATAGCATTCTTTAACTGGAGCTCATACATTCTGTTTCTCCTCTGGTAGAAACATATTCTGGGTCAACTCCTGTGTTCGCGTCATCTGCATAAAGTTGTTTATATCCGACTTCAGGGTTTGTATAAAACTCTTTCCATCTCATATTTGCATACCATGGTGGAAAACCTAACGCAGCGTCATTTGACATGGCAGTTTGCATTTGTACATCTGTTGGCACTTGACCATAGTTTGCCATTGCAGTTTGTATTCTAACTTCATTTGGAATATTCTCTGGGTTTGGTTGTCCAGGTTGCTGTGCATTCGCTAAGTTCTGTGCGTCCATTTAATATTAGATAAAAATATCTCTTACGAGTACATATGCTGAACATTTGCAGGCATTGGTTCATCTTCATATTCTCTGTACTTTTCTGCCACGTCAAATAAATAAACGACACAATGGAAAAAACCTAAAACAAGTAGTCCTATTTCAAACCACATTTACTTACTAATAAAATTTCTTTATTGTGACACTTTCTCCAGTTTATAGGACCTCTCTCATATTCTATCTTGTCATATATAAACTCATAGTCATGTATGTCCTCTAACCATCTCATAACGGTTTCCAAACCACTTTTATCGGATGTAAAGTAAAAGCATGGATGGTTATGTATAACGTCTAAAGTTTCTAAAGAGTCTCTCAAAGTCCAGTCTACTTGGTATTGAAAATCCCATGTGTTATAGAACGGCGGGTCCACTATAAAGAAAACATTTTCCTTGTCTTTATATTTTTCATACAAATCTGTCCAATGACATCTCACAAACTCTATACCCTCAATATATTTTTCTATGTCCTCTTTGAAAACATTTGTATAGTTAAGATATAAAACTTTTGACATAAGTGTTTCAATGTCATGAACTCTTATAGAACCACTATATAATAGTCTAGCAGATATACTATCCCAGTCTATATATTCTGCTTTTTTCAAAACCTCTCTCACAATATTTTTCTTATCTAATGGTATACGTTCCATCTTACCTATAGGTATCTTTTCTTTTAACTCTTTCAATATATTGTTTGTGTCTGGAATATGTTTGAGACGGTCCATATAGTTGTCGAAGTCATTGCATATAATCTTTGAGTCTGGGAATATTGTATGACATAAATGGGATATATAGAAACTTCCACCGAACAAATCTACAAATGTTAGACCATTCGGTAGTTTCTTAAGTTCTCTCAATACAATATCTTTACATCTACTCTTATTTCCATAGAACGGTAACGGCGGTTTTGTAAAATTCATTTATATATAATAATAAAAATGTTTTTACCTGAAAAGTGACAGAAAAGTGACAAAACATGAAAACATATAATTTGTGAAAAGTGACACAAAAAGTGACATTTTAAAAAGTGACACTATTAATATGATGTAAATAACAACGGTTTTGGTTTTGTCACTGTCTGGTCGGCTGGGGTTCGGTCCTCCTCTTGGGTCTTGGGCAAAATTTCTTATGGGCTAGAGGGCGCAACGCGCCTGGAAGCCCTCCGAATAAAAACTTCATTTATACTAAACATCTTCGGGGCTAGAGGGCGCAACGCACCTGGAAGCCCCACTACCTTTTTTTTTGTTTATATATTCAAACCATTATCCTTAGTTTAGATATGTTGGCCAAAAATTTTCGTGTTATTTTTTGTGTTTAAGCATAAATTATGTATTTACTTATGAAAAATAAGCATTTTATTCATTATCATAAAGATATACCATAACAATTGATAAAATTTTTTAAAAAAAAATTGTGTATTTTAGTGGGTATTATTCTGGATAATGCCAATTTTTACAAGATTTAATATTAACCATATCAATAGCCGACTCAATGTAAAAATTTAGATATTATTTTTTCATTAATCAAACTTTGATAAATTTTAGTATAGTGAACGATTTTGTTTCGTGTATGATACAGAAATGAAAAGCTTAATTAATATCATTTTGCATTTTTTAAAGGATGTTAGAGTACATCTACATTAAAAAATCAGATTTGAACTGCGATACTGCATCAAATTGATGCATATCTGATAAGGATCTCAAAAGAGTAAAGTTAATTTTTTTGTGTTTTTTTAAGTTTTGGGCCTTAGTAAAACACCATCTTGAGCAATATTTTTGGGACGACGATAGACCTTATTTGGCCTTACAGTGGACCCTTAATTATGTTGATGGAGATATGTTTGATTTCTACCTCAATCTAATATGTCAACCAACATTTAATATAAGCGAGTTTGATCCATCCACTACCATTCCGTTTTTTTCACCACAAACAATTAATACTAATTAGTCGAACAATCGAATTTTTAAAGCAAGACGACACAGTAATGGAGCTTACGGGCCCAATTTACATCATTGGCGATATCCATGGCAATATAATTGACTTGATAAATATCCTTAAAAACATTGGCTTCCCACCTAAGACAAAAATGCTCTTCCTCGGTGATTATGTAGACAGAGGAGATTATTCCATTCCAGTCATAACCTTACTTCTGGCTCTTAAATCTGCCTATCCTCAACATGTTTTTCTGATCAGAGGTAATCATTAAGAAATATCAGTAAGCTCTGCATATGGATTCAAGCAAGAAGTTTTGGCCAGCTATGATGAAAGCCTATTCCTTAGTTTCCAGAATTTATTTAACTATTTACCTTTAGCTGCAATTATTGATACTAACATCTTTTGCGTCCATGGTGGAATATCTGAACATTTATCAGATATTCAACAGATTCGCAGGATACAACGTCCATTAGCTCCAATTGACTTTACACCAATGATTAAAGATCTCTTGTGGAGCGATCCAATGAATGGAATTTCTCATTACCTTCCTTCATCGAGAGGTACAGGAAGTTACTTTGGCTATAACTCAACAGTAGATTTTCTCAAATCTTCCCAAATGAAACAAATCATCAGAGGCCACCAATGCACAGAGGGAGGTATCTGTAAGCATTGGGACGGCCTCCTATATACTGTTTTCTCTTCTTCAAATTATAACAGGAATTCTGAAAACTTCGCAGGTCTTTTGCAAATTGACGAAAATTCGCAAGTAAGAGCTTACATTATGACTAAAATACAAAGAAAAGTTCCAGCACAAAATAAATTAGCAAGATCTCTCATTAACAAACAAGCGCTTAACAAACCTTTACGTAGATCATCACTATTTACATTTGGACAGCCAGTATTGCCTCCTATACGATCTAATAAGTCGTTTGGCTCCAGTCTTATTCTTCGTAATACTCCTGAATAAGAGATCTTGTTTATATACTTAATTTTACCAATAATTTGTTTATTTTATCGGTTGATAAATATATTTATGTATTTTTCCTACATTTTACAATCATTTTTACTCTCAAAACAAGAAATATAGATTTATGATTTAAATAACCAATAATAATTACATTATTTATTCATACGCTGAACAGCTGCTGCATATCTAAGCAATTCCTGTTTAAGATCTCTATTTTCATCTTCAAGGGACTTTATTTCCTCTTTAACCATTCTAATTTCTTCATCAAGTGCTCGACATTCATCCGCAATCTTCTGATTTTCACGAACGGTAGTTTTAATTTCTTCAATACTCTGTTTAGGACGTGATCCACTCATTCCTGTTGAGCGTCTCATTGTTTCAATATCATCTAATACTTGCTTTAATTGAGCTTCATGGTGATTTTCAAGTTGCTTAATAATATTTTCTGTGTTTTCAGCTTTTGCATTTGCTGATGCAATAGATTGCTCTACTGTCTGTCTTTCATTAGCATATTGCTGCTTAATAGCTTCAATATGCTGATCATAGCATTCTTTTCTTTGAGCAATTTCTTCATCAAGACGTTTTAATTCAGCTTCATGCGATACACGTCTAAGTTCTATAGCAGCTAATGTTTCATCTATTTTAGCTCTTGAATCTCTCAATTCTTCACGAGTGATAGACGTTAATTCAGAAATTTGATTTTCTAGAGCTGAAATTTCTTGAGCATTCTTTTTCTGATCATTTTCTGACTCACGTGATGCTTGTGTTCTGGTTGTCATGAATGTAACTTCATCTAATTGTCTTTTTGTAGCTTCAGCTTCATGACGAAGAGCTTCAAGTTCTTCCATTTTTTCTTGTAAAGCAATTTGAGAGTGTCTATTAGCCCAGTTTTCTGCTTCTGTAAGAGTTTGCTGGAAATCTGATTGAAGATTGTGCATTTCATCTTCATGCTGTTGTTTAATCTTATTTATTTCTTCTTCATGCTTTTGCTGAAGGATTGCTAATTGTTGTTCTGCTTGTTGTTGCTCAAATTCTTCTTCATCAGTACGTTGCTGATTTTGAAGATTTTGAAGAATTGCTGTTTTTTCTTCTATTTCTGCATTTAATTTTGCTAAAATACGTTCAGCATCTGCAACTACGTTTTGATATTGAGCTAATTCTTCTTGTTTAGTATTTAACATAGCTTGAGCTTCCTTATTCATATCTTCAAGAGACATGAATTGTGCTGGAGCTACAGAAACATATGGATTAGAAGGATTTGATCCGACAAGAGTGCTAGCAACGTTGTCGTTCATTTTCGTTGCCGTTTATTTTTAAATCCATCAGTTGATTTGTTGATTTTAATTGGACCTTTAGAATACAAACAGAATGAGATTTCTGTACACATAATTTCAGGACTTGAAAATCAAGATTTTGTTTCAAATCATGACGAATTTGTTGTATTCTGTTATATATCATAATTGCACTAGTGTAAGAATATAAATATTGATGAATTAACATTCATGGAATAATCTCAGTAAGAGTAACTTATTATTCTAGTCTCAAGCGATATATAATCAACATGTACTATAACTATGGATTTATAAATGCTTGAACGTTGTATTCTAAAATGAAATTTCGAAAATTATTAATTCGACTAAATTGCTTACAGTACAAAGCAATACAAACGATCTGACCGTGACTAGTATTTCTAAACAATATTTATTAAGTCAGATATTTTATATTTTTTTATTTTTTTTACATGGAACTTGAAGGGCGTTCCACAATTGATGAAGTACTTTCAAAATATAACGAAGAAAACTCAATTGGGAGCCTCTACAACAAGATTAAAACACAATTTCAGAATCAAATTAATGTAAAATTATGCAAATTTATTCAAAACAGAAGAACATTATCAGACGTGAATTATATGATCCAAACAGACATAAGTTATTTAACTCTTGATGATATAAAGTTCTTATTGAAAACATATGAAATTCAAAAAGATGAAATATCATCACAAGTCGATGACCTATTGTGTTACATTTCGATCCAATCTCCAGATGACTTCGCTCAAATCGTATATTCCACTTTATCAAATAGGCAACTTTTTACAGAGGATGAAAGAAACTACTTTTGCATGTGCACAATCCCTTCAATCTTCAAATATTACATCACAGAGGAATCTCAGCAGCTATTTGCTCGTTTTGTTTGCTCACTTTTCAAAATCCACACTTATATTCATGGATATAGGTTTGCATTCAATGTACAGTTCATATCTAAGATAATCTTATCATATGCACTTACATTTGGAACAGCAAAAATTGTAAATTCTGTTTTCGACTATTCTTACCTTCCTCTTGCGAAGAGTTTGATGACTTCTAGAGGCAAATACACTAAATCAGAGAAAGGACTCTTCTGTCCATTGTATCAAGATTATATTGAAACTCTTGCGAATAATTTTCTTTCCAGAGTTTGGTATTGCATGCCATTATTCTCTCAACCGCTTCGTATCTTAGCATCAAACATTGTCGAGATGGATCAACAGAATATTCTTTCTCTGTTCGTCTTATTTGAGAATTTTATTTGCCAAAGTTTATTGGTTCCAAATGAGAAAGACAGCAAAGATTTAATAGCTGTTAAGAAGGATCTTGTCCAATACTTCCAATTACAGTATAAATGTGAAGCTAATGACCCAATAAACATGGTTATGTTGTCAATTATCAGAAAAATCGCTTCCCTCCTTGAAGTTACAGATGCGACACAATTCAACAACGGAATATTGCACTTCCCAATTCATACTTACTTTACATATCGTGATTTGAACATTTTATACAAAATTTTGAAAGAATTTTCTCAAATGACAGATGAGATCATAGACAGTTCGATTCACAACTATATAAGAAAGTATGAGAGTAAGGGATTAGCAGAAAATACCAAATACAATGTTTATGTCAAGGTTAATATTCACTCGAACAGCCAATTGGCGCAAGAACTCTCACAGTCTGTGACACCCCTCAAGAACACCGAAACTCTTGATTCGGCCATCGCGACATTAAACGTGAATTCTTTATCATTTGAACAAAAAATGAATCCAACCGACGTAATGATCAATTTATTAGCTCACCAAGTACCTGAATTACGCTACCACATGCATCAGGGAGAGATTTCTTTTACAAAAATTGCAAATTTTGCGGAAAACAACAGAATTTACTTCCAATACATTGTTTCTCTCTTCAGTGCTACTCTTGAATACCTTACTGAAAGAGAAGAAGCTATTGAAAACTACATTTCTTCAATTAAAAACGTTTTAATTGAAAATTCTTTTACACCAGTCATTACAAAGATCATATTTGAGAATGACTACATCAAATACATGCCAGAGTTCGACAAATTCTTCCTTGCTATTGAACAATTTTGCATCAATAATGAATTGAAAGAGCACTGCAATGTATTTGAGCGCGTTGGATTTCTCATATTCTATGATCTCCTTGCTCATAGATTTTACATCCCAATTGAAGACCTTCGCTGTTATTCTTACGATAAATTTGCAAATTCATTTGCATCAGCACTTCAGAAGGTTGATAAGAGATCTCAGTTAGGATTTAGAATCCAGAGATGTATCGAAATCCTTTCAGTTCTCGCGTTCACAACAGATATCAAAATTATCTACACAGGAATCATTGAAGCGTTCAAGTATTTAGATTCAAGAGATGTAAACTTAGGATCTTATATCATCGTTGAATCAAAAGCGCTGAATCTCATTGATTATGAAAAATTTTTCAATACATATGTTCTCAATAAGCAGAGATACATCAACACTTTCGGACGTGAAGAGAATGGATACCTCGGAATGTTTATTAACTGCGTAAATAACATCAAGAAGGTTAAATTATAACTTCATTTTATATTTTAATTAATTGTTAAACAAATACTGTCTATTTCTATTATATATTCTAATGCAATATGTTTAGTTGGATCTGATTCTTTTTATTTTTATGCAAGAGATTTTTAAAATCTTTTGACACTTTTCTTTAACGTACATAAATTACGTTAGTATTTTTGAAAGGAAGATAAAAAAATAATAAAAATCTCATATGGACAGAGTATCATTATCGCCACGATCTTATAACAGAAATGATACTCTGATTAGACAAATAGATACAGACTTCGATTTCGAACCAAAAAGCGCTCGACTTCAGGATACTCCTTATCTTCAACCAGTTTTTCCGCCAAAAAATCCTGTGAACGCAGTATCAAATCCAAGATCTCGATCAATGAAAAAAGATCCTAATATAAACACAAAAATTCAAAATTATGAATCGAGAAGATCTTATAGATTTGCAAATGAACGCGCAAGAGATATACCATACGTTCCTCCAGAGTATTCAGGAACATATGTAGAAACAACTCGAGAGTTAACTAAAAAAGAAAAAGAATTTAATAGAAAATTAATTCAAAAATATACCAGAAAATCGAAATTACCTCCTTATCACACGAGTATGATTGGGGCATATAAAAAAGTTGTGTTGGGTCGGAAATCTGAAAGAGTTCTCCAAGAAACTAATGACTACCAAACCACAGAGATATACAAGAGAAGACGATGCAATAAGCTTTATGAAGAGAATATGCGATTCCATTCCGATCAAATGCAGAGGACTGGTGTTAAGGAACCAAAATATAATTTTTGATATGTTTGTTTTTTTAAATTTATCTATTTTTATATTACTTTTAGTTTTTCATCTTATTTATACATAGAAAACTATCTGAGTCATGGGGAAAGATACATTTAATAGGCAATAACAGCAAAATAGGACGAATATGTGATAAAAATTTTAAATTTTATCTTCCTGAAAATTACTTCCTGATTGAAATTAACTTCCAAATTGGCATCACTATTATATAGAATCATTAACTAATGCGTGCTATAAAAAGAAGGTAATATATATAAAAAAGTGTTTTATTTTTATAATAGGGTTTTAAATTAACCAAAATCTGTAGTAAGGGTTTCGTTTTGCTAAAATTGTCACTTTTATAGCATATTTGTTTTTGGATGTTTTGCGAAACCAAAAAAAAACTATGATATACAATGTGTGTGTAAAGAAAATACTTTATTTACTAGTTAAAAAATCATTTGGTATTGATCAAGTTATTTTTTCTGGATAAGATATTATATGGATAATTGGATAGAAAATACAATTATATAATCTTGTACCTGGTTTAATTAAGCTAATTGTCATCAGAAACTTGTAATTTTTATGAAATTCAGATTTTCTTTTCATTACTGCTTTTCTTAATAGGTCAAGTTCTTATTTACGTTATAAAGTATAATATTTACAAATATCAAGTTATCATGTTTTTTGAGAAATTATGAGAAACAAACAAAAATGAAAAAGATAGGAATAGCAATGAATAGTGATGTGGGTATAGAAAATGTAAGAGATATGAATGCAAAGCAATCAGTATTTAGGATATTGACCATAGATTTCGAAAAAAAAAGCTGCATATTGAGCGAAAACTATGATTATATTATAAGGCTGTCATTTAAAGCATAATGAAACTATTCCCTTTTCATTTTAATCGAATAAGATAGTAAAGATTTTTGAATTAGCTAGAAACTGATGAGATGTTTTCACAAATCAGATTTTTAATCTCTATAATGCATAATTCACTCAATATCTCAATTTTGATATTGCGAGATATTTTTGCTATCGGTTTCGCAATTTTGACACAATAGCAAGAGGGTTCTATAAGCATTATTATCAACGTAGAATTTGAATATCATATCAGAAAATGTCGCAAATCTGACATTTACCCGACCAAATAGCAAAAATAATTGAATACTTTTCGCGAAAACTTTAAAAATCGATAAAAATATGAAATATAGATATTAAAGAGACTTTTTATATAATATTCATAAAGATTTTCCAAAAATATGATACCGCAAAATTAAAAAAGTGACGTCTTGAGTGGAGTCAAAGGTCGAAATTGCTAGCTAAATGTTTTTTTAGCGAAATTGCGTATTGTACGTTTTTTTCGCAAAACGAAACCCTTATCTGTAGCAAGTTCTCTTTCCAGTTCTAATCTTTCCTCAACTTTCGAATTTTTCTTTCTGCTCCAAAAATAGGCTACTCCAACAATTGCAACAATTAATACAAATAGAGCTGCAGAGACTGAATAGTATATAATCATTTTGTAATTCTTAGAAGAATAATAAGGAGTTCGGCATGCAGGCAGAAAATGTGATTCAAGATTATTCAATGTTGTACTATTGCAATCAATGAATGAAATATTATTAGTATCAACGAAATCCTTGTAAAATTCTATTAAAGGCGTACCAATAAACACACAATGTGTAAATTCTACATTATTAGTCTTATAACTAAAAAATACAAATATTGTTTGATTGACAATAGTGGAGTTTATATAATTATAATAATCAATTGTCACGAATTCAAACCCAACAAAAAATGATGTAATCATCGAAAATTCTTGACAAAATTTCATTGTCGAATTGGAAAGATCGAATATACAAGCATTTGTTGAGCATTTAGATGAATTGATTCCTCTAATTACTGAAGTTAACTCATAAATTTCATTATTATTCTTGTTGTAATATCCATTGATATCATAGATATCATAGGTCATAACTTTTCCTAAATTTTGATTAGAATATGTAGTACTAGTGTTAAACGAAACATAAGTATTTGTATCTATATAACAAAATTCAAATAAAAATCCGCTAACTTCGATGCCACAAATATGACTAATTTCGATATGAGCATTGGAATAATCAATACAAATAGCTCCTGGCTTCAATTCTGATTGACATTTCCAAAAGAAAATGTTATCGATCTTGATGAATGGACTTGCAACAAAATATTGATATGCAGGATGTATGATGTTGATTGCAGCACCTTCATCATTAGTAATACTAACATTAATAAATTTACAATATGTAATTTCGATTTTTTCATCGATGAAAGTGTATTTTATTGATGAGTTTTTCTCATGATTTGTGTAATTTTTTTCTAAAGGAATTGATTGACAAAGAATTGGCTCAACATCTGGATAAGGTATTTCTTGAATAAATGTACAATTATTCACAGATGTTGATTTGTCTGTAAAAACGTTTTCAATATATCCTGTGATATTGATAATAGTTGAATTCTTATAATAGCTATGACATATGAAATCAACAGACAATGATTCAATGTAACAATTGATGAAATATGAATTATCTATAGCAAGTATTGTAAAAGGATCATATTGAATGTTAAAGATCGTTTCCACAAAATAACTATAGTTAAAAAGCAATTCTAATCCCGCTGAATTAATTTTTGACTTTGATATGTTACAATTATTAAGAATTGCTCCAGATGGACTATCAATAAATAAATTGTCTGTTTCATTTAATTCAAAGTAATTGTACGAAAGGTTTTGCTTTGGAGACCAAAAAATGATATCATCGGCCATGGGACCATGACAATTGCAAAAACACGATTTGAGAATTTTAATATGATCATTCAAAAAGGCAAAAATAGCACCCCAGGTATATCTATATTTCCTTTTTCAACAATTACATTACATGAATCGAAGATAGATTCTGATATATCTAAACTTTGGAATTTGTTCGATGAAATTGAAATTGCAGCTCCGCATGATTTTGATGTAATTGAAGCGAATAAGCACTGAAAGATTGAAACTTTGTTTTCTAATGGCTTAAATGTCTGAGAAAATACATGATTCTGATACTTCTCCATTTTTTTAATGAAGTCAAAACATGCCTTCAAAAAAAAATTACGACTTTTCAATTCTTCTAAGGTTCCCTTGAATCAAGCAATTCATTGAAAATATAGTGAATATTATAAATAATATCTGATTATTTCAGAGAATTAAGCTTTTAACTCTCATGAAAATTAGAATTTGCATAAGATTAAAGAGATTGCTTGCAATTTGGCAGCGACAATTTTCAAACTTAATACATTCTTTTTATTGGTTATAATAAATAAAAATAATAATAAATTTTATTAATTCACTATAAATTTACTAAATTTATTATACACTTAGTGATTATTATAATATGTTTACGTTAAGGTTCTTTTATTCATAATCAAATTCAAGTTCCCTTTCCAACTCCATTTTCTTCTCGTACCTAGAATGCTTAATTCTTATGAACAACACAGATAATCCAATTACAATCAAGATGAGTGCAACAGATGAACCTAATACTGCATAGAAAATTACCATTTTGTTTATCACCTTTTCTTTCTTAGGAGTAGCACAAACAGGTAAAAGATATGGCTTGAGATCATTTAATGATGAACTCGAGCAATCAATAAAAGAAACATCGTAATCTTTGAATAACTTCATAAACGGAGTATTGATAAATACACAATGATCGTAAGTAATGTTTGAATTTATTTCAATTGAAAATTGATCATCACCTATGATTATGTCAAAACTGATAATACTTGTTGAATTAATATAGTTACAGAAGGTGAAATCGGAGGATTTGAGTTGTGTATATAATCCAAATTTAATGTTTTCTTCTTGACAATGTGATGCAGATAAAGCAGAACCAATAAATACATAACCAGCTATATAATATGATGATGTATTTAGGCCTGTTATATACGATGTATTGGCACTTTGTATTTCATCTTGAGAATTAATTTCATATATATAATACGTATAACCTTTCGTATTATTAGTAATTGATGAAATTGTACTGGAGTTAAATTTGATGTTACTTGCAGTAAGTTGACAAAATTAATCAAAGAATCCAGTGACATTGATACCACAAATATGATTAATTTCGATATTAGAACTACTATAATCTATAAAAATGCCGCCTGGACTAGTTTCTGATTGACATTTCCAAAAGAAAATATTATCTATCTTGATTTGAGGATCTACAGTAAAATATTTATATGCTGGTCGAACAATATAAATTGCAGAACCTTCATCACTTTGAGTACTAACATTGATGAACTTACATTCTGAAATTTCAATCTTTTCATTTATAAATGTGTATCTAACAGATTTATTTTGTTCATGATTCGAGTAATTCTTTTCAATAGTAATTGATTGACATAAAATAGACTCAGCAGATGGCAAAGGTACCTGGACATGATGTTTCATTTTCTGCAAGGTTGTTTTCTGATGCATATGTTATATTTAAATTAAAAATTGTTGTATTTTTGAAATAACAATTGATTAAAATTACAACAGCAGATTGAGTTATAGTACAATTTAAAAAATATGAATCAGTAATGGAGAGTATTACAAATCCAGGACCCAAAACAGAATTATAAAAATAATTAAATGAAAAATTACAAAGAAAAATTGCTACTTGTTCAAATTGTGTTACTATATTTGAATTATTACAATATTTCAGTAATGGATTATCTGATATTGTAAAAATAAACGCATTATTAGTATTTCCGATGTCAAAATAAATATTTGAAAATTTACTAGATTTGGCCATATAATAGATAACATCACAATCTTGAGCATGACATTCAGAAAAACATGATTTTTCGATTTTCATATTATTTTGCAAAAACGCGTAGATAGCACCTCCAGCTTTCAAATACGGTTCAGATATTTGCTGTACTTTACAAGAATCGAAAATAGATTCAGAAACTTCGAGATCATTTGAAACCATTGATGGAATTGAAATGGCAGCACCACAAGAATATGATGAGATTGAAGCAAATATACATTGAAGTACCGATATAGAGCTGTTAATCGGCTTTAATTTATGGAAAAATACACTTTGTTGATACCTTTCCATAAAATAAAATTGAATGGAAATTTTTCAGATATCAAACGTTAACGTAAGGTTGTAAAAAATGTGATTATTTGAAAATGCCTGCGGAAAATTTATGGGAGATATAGCCATGTGACATGAAATGGAAACGATTAAAACAGTTAGATTTTATTTTCGATATAGCAATTCCACATGGTTATCGCTTAAGGTGCGAAGTTCTCAATTTCCGAATCATTCTCCTTTTTTTGAAACTTTACGGAAATTTCGGCAAAAAAAATTATATGATCGGACCCTATCGCGATTATTGCCATTATACTGGTTCTGCTATTCTTATAGACATTTAATTATTATAAGCTTCAAAAATCCCATACAAAAATTCTAATGGTTGCATTGAAATTTTTCAATGGATAATCCAAACCAAAATCAAGCCTCTTTAATCATAATATTAAGTTATACATAAGAGATATTTGACAAAAATTTTTGATCGGAATTTGAAAGCGAATATAAAAACCTAAATTTTCTTATCTTTTCTCTTTCAAGCATGCTGTTTTTAGAACTTTCATTATCATTAGAAGCCGATAGACTGAATACAACATCTGTTTTTGATGATTGCCCAATCTTAATAAGAAGGGATAAAAATGAAAAGATTCGAATCATAGAACTTAAGAAAAATGAATCAATTTGCATACAAGGAAGTTATATAATTGGCAGTAACTCTACGATCTATATGCAAGGAGCCTTCCAAGAACAAAATGAAGATGGAAATTGGAGTTGGAAGTTATCCTCAGTTATTAAGGACCCTTTTACACTCTTGGGATCATATGATAGCGAATTAAATGATTACTTTGATCCAATTGGAAAATTAACTTGTGATGATGAGGAAAGTTGTCAAATCAAGATACTTGAAGTATATCCATCATATAACTACACAAAAGTAAAGGTAGATCCTGACGGTGTTGTTACAAAAATTACTAGAATTAGAAGAAATATCTTTAATTTAAAGAATAATGCATCAACAAAGTTAATTGCTAGAAAGACGCATACAAAATTAAATGAAATGCTATTTGAAGATGTAATTGAAACATCTTCTGTTGTTTTCGCATTCTATCAGACGAGTAAGGCTTTTCAGATAACAACCAATGGATCTAACATAGATTATGATAAACTAAATGATGCTAATGAGTCAAATTACGTCGAATTTTCACTTAATCTCACTGAAGAAGAAGAATCACAAGAAGAATTTAATAAATCAGCTACAATCACTTGTATAGACAGCGAATTAATTGAAGATGATTCAAATAAAACAACATTCCTGTTTCCTTTAATTAGTGGAGAATTATCAGCTTCTGCAGGTGTTTATACAGTTGAATCATTAACTAAATCAAATGATAAGCTCCCTAACTGGGCAATTGCATTGATATCAACTGGCTGCACGATATTTGCAATTGTTATTGTTCTTTCTGTTTATTCATTTGCTCGTAGAAGGAAGAATCAGAACCAATCATCAACACCATCAGGAGTTCAAGTATTTGACCATGCAAACGATCCAAGAGACGACTCTATTCAAGAATATCTTTGAAAATAAAAAATTGTTTATATCTTCTTCCTAGGGTATCAAATACTTAATTGTTTTTACCATTTTTGCTAATACAAACTCAGTATTAACAGAAATTTAATGGATTGAGAAGAATAAAATCAGAAAAGGTCAATCATGAAAGCATGAGATGCAAACATACATTGAATATGACCAATTGCAATATAACTTTCTTTCGCATTTCGATGTTTTGTGTTGATTGAATATGATTTGACAATTAAAAAATTAAGAATTGAAATTATTTAATTTTGTTTCTTTTACTCATGATATTTTTCAGCCTTTTTCTTTTATTACATTTGACGATAAAAGATTCAAAATTCAAGAGCGAAATTCTTCGACTAAAGGATCCGGCCGCTCGGGTGGAAATTCCCATAAACACGGGGCACCTGAGCAGCCGGCAGTCCATATGAAAGTTGTTAAAAGAATTCGCAAGATTATACATCGAGATGGCACTCAAACAATTTTAGAAGTAACGAAAGAAAAGATTCCAGTTCCAAACGATAGTAAAGAAAGCCAAAATAATCATCCATCAATCAAACTACCTCAAAATGAGCAAAAGATACCTCCGAATTTAAATCGAAGAGGAAGTATCATCAAAGAGCCTAAAATTTCAGACGGCCCACATTTACAATCAGGTGGAACTATTGATGGGACAAATTCTCCATCAACGTTTAATCCATCTGGACTTCCAACGAATATTGATAAATTGGATCCTTCGGCAGAACGATTTTATTCTCGTACATCTCAAAAGATTCAGCTTGCACACTCCGCTTCATCGCATTTACAGGACGATTCAGAAAATCAACGTTATGAACCCATTGTTTACACGAAAGATTCAAAGACTTACGATAAAGTTATTTACGATTTTGAGTCAGCAAGCTCGGATGATAACGAAGATCCATCATGCAAAGTTATTGATGACCGATTTATACGATATGTCTCTCAGAAACAATATGCAAAGTCCACGGATATACGAAAAGTTGTTCAGTTCCAGCTGAAAGAAGGAATAGAGCTAACTCCAATTTTAAAGAGAATTCGACAAAATTATAACCATGGACAGTTCAATGTTCTAAAAGTAAACGATAATAAATCTAATTCACAACAAATCATTAATTGTAATCAGAAATCTGATATTGTACAGAAAGGAAAAAGTATGTCAGGACCAATATCAGTAGAAAGCTTTAATTTCGAGTTCAGTGAGTCTGCCTCGAACGAAGATGATGATCAACTACATAGTTCTTTACAACTTGACTGTCCTTCATATAATTTCAAATATAATCGTGTCAAAAAGCATAAAAATTCATCAAGTTCAAGTGATTATTACAGCAATGAACCAGAATTTACGGATTTACCTCTTCCTGCTAAGAAAATTAGAAAATACAAACCATTATTTACTCCAAAGAAGAGATTGGCAGCAGAACTTACTCAACCAAAGACATATCATAAGCATAAACCCGAACCAGTTGTAGAATTCAAAGGATCATTAGAAATTCCTGACGATGAAACTTTTATTAAACAATACGGTTCATTTAGACCAGCATTGAAAGAGAAATTCGAAGAAACAGATGATTTTAAGAAGTCTGAAAGCTTCCCAGCATTTATTGACCAGAACAAAAATAAAAATGTTATTAAAATCGATGACAAGTACTATGTTGAAAAAATTGAAGACGGATTCTTAACAAGAGTTAGAGTTACAGCTGATGGACGTAAATTAGTGTTAGTTTCTAAAGAAGAAAAGAAAAAATCTCCATCAAAAAAATTATCTCGAAAAAAGTCAACGCTTTCTGTCGATAACATTAAATATGCAGTTAGTGATATACCTAGCAGAGATTCAGAGCTATCTCTCAACGGAGTTTTCTTAAGCGAAAGTAGAAGTTATAATAAGAAACTTTCTAACGGAAGCCAATCAGATGGAGATGCCAAAATATCATCTGCTGAATTTAGTACTCTTCCAGCAATAATTGAAGAACCAATTAGAGAATTAAAACAATATTATGACGAATCACAAGATCCGCTTTATCCAAGTAAAGACAAATGGAGCGGATCTACTGGAAAGAATAATTCTGATATAGAAACAAGTAAATCTACTGAGAAATTAAATAATGAAAATTATTCAGAGAGTAATTCAAAACAAGATAACTCTAAAGACAGAATCCATGATATAGAAATTAAACCTAAAGGAAAGAAGAGGCATCGGAACTCAGAAATGCATCGTCACGAAAATTCTCTTGAATCAGAACATGTTCATCACCAAAGAAGGAAATCCGATCATTCCCATCATCACAAGAGAAGACCACGTACTCACCATGAATCTTTACAAAGTTCTTTGAATCTTGATTCAGATGAAGTTTCCGAAAAGGTTTCTACCCATGTCAGAATGATTCCTTTGCCTCCAAAAGACTCGTTCGGAAGAGAAAGTAGTTCATCTCCTCAAGATAAAATTTTACAAAATACAATTTTGAATTCAAGTCCTCCAAAATCAGAAATAGCGCAACCTGCAGTTAAAGAAACCACCCAAGATACACTTCCACCCATTAATACTAACATTGAAGCTAAAACTGAAGTTTCATCTCAAATTGAATCTCCAAAAGACAAAAGTGAAGTTCATACTGATATCAAATCGCATAGACATGGTTCCAAACACAGGTTGCCAACACCTCCACGTTCTTTCCTTAACAAACAACAAGAAAAGAATGAAAATGAAGAAGATTTTGATAACGAAAACGCAGTTAATGACAATAACAACTGCAGTGTCATTGCTCCAGCACCTCCTTTATCAGATGCAATACTCTCCGCCATCCAAACTCCAAGTCCTCATCAGTATTACTCAAGTGAAGAACAATTACAGTTTGAAGAAGCTCCAAAACAAGGAGAAATGTCTCCAACACGTATGAATCATTCAGTACAAGACTCTCCAATTGCTATCAGAGCGAATGTTGATATAATTTCTCCGAAATTACATAAAACAAGGTCGAGCTCATCGAGTTCGTATTCAAATGATGAGAAAATGATTAATACTGATAAGATACAACACAATTTGGATGTTAAAAACATTTTCAACATTGTTGTTGATAATTCAGAAGGAATTAAGAAAGAAACTACCTCAGATTCAAAGAATACCGCTGAGAAATTGACAAAATCAGATTCAAATACTAATATTGATGATGAAAATGCAAAAATTAAAGAAGATTTATCTGATAACATAAAGAACACGTTTTCATCAACAAAATTGAAGAGATCATCAGGATCGAATAAAAGTGTTCGTTTCCAAGCACTTTTAAACGTTCAAAAATCAGATTCTGAGATTCAAACTGACGAAACAGAAGAAGCAGAGGAATATTCGATCCAATCCAATAATTTCATGAAAGAAAGAATTGCTTTCGTACCAAAATCTGTTGATGAATCTGATGATACAAATAATAAAGTTAATAGCAATGAAAAAGACTCTGATTCAAAGGATTCATCATCAGAGGAAGAGGAAAGACCACCAATCCTTGATGAAAACTCAGTTAAATCTGAAAATCAAAAATATAATTCTGATGATTCTGAAAACCAGATCAAAATTCAAGAAGATAATTACAGCATTATCGATGAAAACCGTCACCATAGCTTCTCTTCATCAGATAATAAAAATGAAGATTATATTGTTAACCAAAACGCTTCAGAGGATGAATCATCAACATCTACAAGCTCTCCAACTGATCCTGATGAACTTCCTTCTCCTTTCAAACCAGTTATTGAAGAAAATCCGAAGCCATTCCAGCAAAAGAAGCCACAATTGTCATCTTCTGAAGAAGATTCAATATCAGAGAACGAAAAAGTTGTTTTACTCCAAATGCCGAATGAAAATAGTTTTAATAATAACGATCATCTGAAAACTGTTCCAGAAAAGTTCCAAGTTTCATCAGAAACATCAGAATCAGATCAAAAAGTTGTTGTCCAGAAGAAACCGCATCTTTCTTCTTTATCTTCCGATTCAAATTCAGACGAAATTGATGAAAAAACAATTTCTGACAACAACTACGACCAATTCAAAGAAAAAATACCAATAAAAGTGATTTCTGATGAAACTGAGAGCTCTGAATTGTTTATTCCAGAACCAACAGAGAAATCTCAGAAAAAGAGAAGAATTTCTCTCAAAAACATGGAAGTTTCGGAGACATTTTCTTCAACAACTTCTTCTTCATCAGAAAAAGAAGGTGAAATGACTATTTTATCTGAAGATATGAAGCCAGTGATGAATCCAATGTCTATTTCCCCTAGACAAGAAAATTCTGAATCAAATGATTCGTCAAAACCGCAAAAACCGTTAGAAATTAAAACAAAATTTGACAATGTAAGTTCTGATGAAATTTCAAAGTCTCCGTTGAATGCAAAAGGTATAAAAGAGCTCAATTCCAAGATAACTTTATCATCTTCCGAAGAACAAACACCAGAAAACACTCCAACACCTTTGAAACAAAAACTAAATTTGTCATCATCAGAGGAAATGAAACAAAAATTAAATTTGTCATCATCAGAAGAAATGAAACAAAAAACTTTGGTTTTGCCGCCAACACCGGTTAGAATACAAACAAAACCTCCTATGTCATCATATTCTTCTTTAGGAGGATCCCCTCGCCAACAAAAGAAAGAAGAGTTCGAAGAAGAAACAACGTATTCATCATGTGAAAGTGAGAAACAAACAAATTTAGTTGTTGGTTTACCTTCATCAATTTCGGATCAAACAGAAACTTCATCTGATGTTCCTCAAATGCCAAATATCAAAGCAGCAGAAAGATTCAACTTCAAGAAGGAAAGTGAATCTGATACTTCTGAGTCTGTAAATATCAAAGAAAGAAAAATTGAAATTTCAGATGAAGAAAAATCAAAAAGTGACACAAAAATTAAAAATTCGGATTCTGACAGTATCAAAATTGTTAAAAATGCTGTTTTACAAGATGAACAACCTGTTGGATATAAGTATGACTTGTCAAGTGATAATGATACACCGTGGATGAACAAGAAAGAAAATATAGAAATTAAAAAATCAAAACATCACAAAAAAGTTAAAAAACAGAAACAAAAAACTGTTGTTTCTCCAAAAAGTGACAGTGATTCAGAAATCAAGAAGAATAAAAACAACGAAGAAGTTGTTAATAACAAGCAAAAGGAATACGACAGTTCAGATTCCATTATTGAGAGTATATCAAACAAGAAGAATATGACACAAAAGGAAATCGAAAAAGAAATAGAAATTGCAAAAGAAGAAGAAAAGAAATTATTGAAAAGTGACAGTGATTCTAAGAAAATTTCTATTCCTTTGGATGACATCATTGGCGAAGAAGAAAACGCAAGGAAACCACAGAAGAAACCACCTCTATCTTCAGAATCTTCTGCAGCTGAACCTCAATCAATTCGCCACAAACCACCAAGAATTCCTCAAATTCATTCTCCTCCAAAATCCGAAACATCAAACAAAAAATCAGAAAAATCTGACAAAAAATCCGAAAAACTTGACAAAAAATCTGAAAAATCTGACAAAAAGTCAGAAAAATCTTCAAAGAAAGTTGATGAAAAAGTATCAAAGGAAGAGAAGAATAAGCAGAAAAATGATGAAGATAAATCTAAAACAATGAAATCTGTTGAAGCAAAACCAAGAACGAAACCAAGAAAATTAGGAAAAACAAATTCTGATGATGAAAAACTTTCGAAACAAAAAGTGAATAAACCAAAATCACAAAGAATAATCAGACCAACACTTTCTATGAATGAACCAGGAAAATCTCCATTAGTCACTGAAAGACAAAATAACTCTGATGGTGATTTATCATCATCCTCTTCTTCATCTTCTACTGATACTCAAATTTCGATTTTCAAATCTTTCAAGTCAAGAAATGTCACTTCACAATTAATTGACATTCCAAAGAAGATCGAAACTCCACCACAAACACCTTTGACACTAAACCAATCTACACCTAATCTCATATCCAAAGAAAAGTCCCATTCTTCAGATGATAACGAAGATAAACCACAACCGTTGATTTTCAAATACAACGTGAGATATAATGCAAGAAAAGTGAAGTCACAAGGTGAAGTGATCACTTCCAATTCTGGAATGGCCACAGCAACGAATACAACAACAGGAGGAACGAGTTCGACAACTTTGGAGTCTCCTGCAATTCCAGAAATTAAAAATGTTCTTTCTACAACAGAAACAACGGAATCTTCGTTTTCTTCAGAAAATCAAAGAGTTAAAAACTTCGTGAACCAAAAACCACCACCTATGAACTCGAGTAGCGAATCAAGGAACCATTTGATCAGAGAAAACGATAACAGTGATGGAATTGAATTTGTTGAAACAGAAAGTGAAACTTCCTCTCAAAACTCTGATTTATCAATTTTCAAGAAGTTCCCTCGTGTCAGTTTGAATCATTCCAAGCAGATAACGAAATCATTGGATATACTACAAGACGAGAATCAGATAAACGATGATGAATCATCAAATAAAGATTCATTGAATAATTTTTCATCAGGAAAATTCACTTTCTCTCATCCTGAATTTAATTTGCTGCAACAAGAGAAGAAAAGACCAAATTCAGCTCGTGTTTTGCTAGGTTCGAGGTCAGGAGACTTGGGGATGGTGAGGATTCAGCCTCCAATGTACGAAGAAGATTTAAATTACAGTAATTCAGAATCAGACTCACATCAAAATAAGAAAAAGAGTCAGGTTAAATTTAATACTCAGCAGAAACATACGAAACATTAATTCTTATTATTTGTTTAATCATGTTTATTTATTCGTAAAAAAATATTATGTATTTTTTTCAACAAAATAGAATTGTTTGATATTTTATTATTTTATTATTAAAACTTCGGATATTCTCCACACGAGATCCTTATTTTAATATTAAAACTTCGGATAATATTCCAATTAAATATTTGATAATTTAAAAATTTTGGGCCAAATTAAAAATATAGATCAATACATCCTGTTTTTGATAAATTGAAGTTTAATTTTTTTCCCAAAATAAAAATGAGAATAGAAATCAAAAACGAGAGTGGTGAGTTTTTAGACATTACAATAATAAACTATTATGAAAGATCTATTAAATCCTATTCTCGTAGCAAAAAGCTGATTATTCATTGAATTTCAATAAAGTCATTTTTCTCCTTCAATTTTAGAAATGTTATCAAATAACCGTCGAAATTCAATATTGTTGAGAATGAGTGAGGTGAATTGGCAAACACTTTTATAAAATATATTTAATTTTGTCTTGGCCAACAAATTGAAATTTTTCAATTGACATTAGAAGCCACCTTTTTAACTAAATGCTATTGTATTTAGCTCTCATCTTATCGTATAAATGCAATATCAATGAACAAATGAAGAAGCTAAACATAAAACAGAATATGCAACGTCTTGCTTTATCAAGCAGAATTTCTTCAAAGTGGAGACCTATTAGAATTACATTAAATTATGATTTCCTTGAAGGCAAAAGAAACTATCCATATACATGCAAAAATGTTGGTCAAGTTATTGAAGAAATAGGAGTTGTTTGTGAAGCAAACGATATAATAACAGAAAAACAAATTTCGGCCATCAAAGGAACGTTGAACAACGTTGTTGACTTTCTTTCACATACTCTCAAAGTACAATCTGTCTTAGATCCGATTAAAGTTGAAATTGATGATGAAAATAAACTTGAATTCAATAATACAGATTTAGTTCTTATTGTTACCAGTCAGAAAATCGATGGAGCTTTAGCATCAGCAGGACCTCGTATGTTTGAAGATACATATCGAAGAACAATAGTTGGAATTGTAGAATTTAACCCTTCCACTACCCCAGAAGAAGCTGTAAGTGAAAACGATTGGAATGATAAGTGAAAGTGATTGGGATAATAACTTTTTTATGACAATTCTCCATGAATTAACACATACTCTTGGATTTGCACTCAATTTCTTTGAAAAATACCATCCACCTGAAAGCACAGAAGTTTACAAGGATCCGGTATGCAAGTTAACAAAGTATAAGAAGAATTATTTGTTTTTAGTGACCCCAAACGCTCACGTTTATGCAAAGAAGAGATTTGGAGTTGAAACATTTATCGGCGACAATGGAACGAGTTGTCCAGCTGGAATTGAAATGGAAGATGGTGGTTCTATTGGAACAGCAGGTTCACATTTGGAAGCCAGAACATATAATTCTGAAAATATGATTGGAACTGATATTGGTTATCCAGTACCTTTCTTAAGATTTACTGATGCAACTCTTGCAGTTCTTATGGATACAGGAAATTACAAAATCAATTGGGCAAATGCAAAACCTTTAGTTTATGGACACCCTGAATCAATCGATGGAAAACCAATATCAAACTTTGCAATTGATCCACCTCAATTCCATTTTCCTTCAAACTATTTGATGACTACTCAAGATTTCACAGGATTTGATTATCGTCATTATGGCTCAGGAGAAGAATTTGATATCGTTTCAAATATTCCTTGTGATAATGAATTTTATAGTCCATATTGCAATGCAATGGATTCCTTTTACAATCCAAAGAAAGAAACATATATTGGATCTAGTATTTTCGTAGACCTTCAGTTACTTCCGAAACCATCCCAAGTATGTGAAGAAGGAAAGGCAATTCTCCCGGGAGCAAAAATATAGAGAACACTGTAGTGAATATATTTGTCATGGTTATGATTCTTTTGAAATCAAAGTCCATGGACATAATCAGGATAACACAATTATTTGCAATAAAGATAACGCTGGATTACAATCTCATTACAAACTCGAAGTCTATGATGAAGAAGGAAATTCTCATATTATTAATCGTGACTATACTTGTCCTAACCCTGAAAGATTCTGCAGAACAATGAAATTATCATCAATGCATTTTGATAAAGATCCACTTGATCCAAACACAAAAGTGCTTGAAGGAAAGCCGCAGGATAAGCCTGAATGGAGTTTCGATTATTCCGATTTAGAGAAAGAAGAAATTTCAAACGAAGCAGATCATTATGCTTCCCCTAAAAGCAATAAATTGAAAGCAGGCTATATTGTTTTGATTGTTCTTGGTACCATTGTATTATTAGGTGCTATTGCAGTTATAGTTTATTTTGTGGTTTTTAGAACAAATCAAATTGCTTCAACAAATTCTGTAGAAAATGATCTAAATAATAATAGCGATGAAGCTGAACCTTAAGAACCCTTTATGACCATTATACATATTATTAGAGTGTAATAACTCTATTTAGTTTTCTAAAAGTCTTTTTCTTGACAAAAATAAATCTGATTTTTACCAACAATTATATTTATTACAAATACATGATCTTAAATCAAATGTATATGTCATTTATTGATTGAGTTCCTATTCTCAACGTTTGTTCTCATTAATATTTCCCTATAGCAAAATTCTGTGAAAAATTTATATTTTCTAGGCAGAGAACAATTTGGTATGACCTAATTAAGAATACAACACGATTTGTGATTTCAAGAAATTGAGTTTGATGTCCGATTGTTCAAAATTTTTTCCAAAATTTTGTTCATTGTTAATCGTTGAAACATAAAGGAGCAATGGAACTAAAAATAGAAACGAGAGCCATAAATCATCATTCATTCTTGACCAATTATCGTAACCTGGGGAAAAGAAAGTTATAATTAGTAGATAGCTTTATCACATGAAATACATTGTCTCGATAGTACCAAAATTGATTTTGGCCAATATTGAATCTTCAATATTCTCAGGAAATCGAATTGTCTTTGTTTCCTATATTTGTTAGCATTAGTAGATACCAAAATTTGTAAAATAATGTACCCTGAAAAATTTGATTACACTTTTTTTATGTAAATTTTTAAAAAAAAATGAAAAAGCTTGCTATGTTACGCCAGTGTTCTGGCAAAATCACCCATGTCACTCTATTAGATCTTCAAATGTTAGAGGTGCAAGATGATGTTATCAATTTTAATTTCTATACGAGAATTTTTGAATTATTAAATTCTCAGCACTTAATAATCTCATCTATAGAACCTCCAAAGACAAATGAGTCCACACAAGATACAGGAATTTTAAAAAAAGTACAGCAAGCTATAAATAACTTAAAAAAATGCGATTATGCTCATTTATTTAAGATTACTGATAATGTTATTAAATTACTGACTCAACTTCTCAGATCAGCCGAGAACGATCAGATTTCTCTTTATGTTGCTCGTCTTTTGAAACCATTAACTCAAATAAAAAGAATTCAACAGATTTTGGAAAACAGAAGATTACCAAATGGTATCTTTCTCCCTCCTTTAAAGGGTAAGGCAAGCAAGAAACTCGAAATCGCTCCCGGAATGCAAGACGAAGTTATTTGTCGTATCTGCGAGAAACCAGTTCCAAAATCACATTTCGTTAAGCACATTGAGACCTGCTACAGAGCCTATCAAGCCCAGCAGTCTCAAGTTCAAATAGATGGCGATATGAACAAAATAATTCAAGAATTTAAAGCTCTAGCCAAAATCAAATGGCCTGTATCACAAGAAAACATACTTAATGTATTAGTCCCTCTACATATGATACTACTTCTCAAATCTGCCCTCAAAACAACAGATAATTTTGAAAATCAATTCCAGACTTGCCTTTCCGTCTTATCTACGCTTCCTGTTGTCATCCAATTTACACAGTCGTTTAACGATTCATTGAACGATTTAATTAATCGCTCAATTGGAATTCTCAAATCAAAAGTTTGCGTTTCCTACAAATCGTTCCAGCTTAACAAAGAAGCCCAAGAACTGACTCTTTCTCCCTCCCAAAGTTTGTCTCCTTCGACATCTTTTTCCGGTCAAACTGATATGTCAATCGCCTCCTTCACAATTCTTAAGCAGATCTCAAAGGGAGCCTACGCAAGAGTTTATTTGGCCGAAAAGAACTCTACAAAAGACAAATACGCCATCAAAGTCATATCAAAAGATAAATTACACACAACAGAGATCGTTAAGCACCATTTACTGCATGAGAAGGACTTTTTGTTCCAACTCAGATCAAATTTCATTGTTAAGATATGTATGTATTTTTTATTTTTTCATCGATTACAAAATTTTTTCTGAAAATATAAGATTTGAGATATATATTTCGAATACCGAAAATTTTGATGATTTTTTTATGAAATTTTTTGGTATTTTTTTTATATCTCAAAAATTATTTCAGAAAAAAAGAAAGTGGTTGATGAAATAATTTTTAGATCATTACTAACACACAGATAGTAGCTTCATTGGCGAGAAGAACCTTTACATTGTTATGGATTACATATCCAACGGAGATTTGAAGCATATTTTGGATAATTACGAAGTATTCGATGAAGTTCATGCCACGATATGCACAGCCCAGATTGTTCTTGCACTCAGAGACCTTCGCAGAAACAAATTTGTTCACAGAGACCTGAAACCAGACAATGTCCTCCTCGATGGTGATGGATACCTCAAGCTGATCGATTTCGGACTCTCCAGCGAGATCATGCAGAACGAAATTGTCGATACAACAGGAACTCTCGGTTATTGTTCACCGGAAGTTTTGACAAACCAGGCCACAACATACTCATCCGATTACTGGTCCCTTGGCTGCATGATCTATGAGTTTTTGTTCGGAATGCCACCATTCAATGCCGAAAATGCGACAAAAACCATAGAGAACACCCTCAAAATCAACTACGAAGTTGATCTCAGTCTGACTGCCAATCCAGATAACGACCTCCACGATGCTTTAGACTTAATTTCGAAATTACTCGTCTTCGAACCGGAGAAAAGACTGGGACAGAACTCATTTGAGGACATAATGAACCATCCTTGGTTCAAAGACATCGATTGGGAAAACGTTCCTGAGCTAAATGACATAGAAAAACCAGAAGAATTTAATTCGAAGCGAAAAGTGATCGATACTAACTCTAAAGAGTACCTCGATATCATGAGTGATATGCAATCATCACAGAAGATCCGAAATGAGTTCTCTTCCTACTCAAGTTGCTCATCAGATGAAGATGACGACTTTTCCAAGTTCAATCAGGTCTCTACAACATACCAGATCGACAAACTTCGCCAGGAAATGGCATCAGAGCACATTAAAATACCAGATGACGACTGTGATGATGCTTGTCCGATTGTACCTTATTTGACACCGAGATCCAACACTCCTTTGCAGTCAATGGCGAAAGTTGTTCCATCTCCAAGGTCTCCAAAGGCAACTCCATCAGGAAGTATGACATTTGAGTGAAAATAATACGAATATTGTTGTATTTTATAGATTTTTTTATATTATTATACCTTTTATTATTATTATATATATATATATTATATTTATTTTCGTGATTATTAATAAAACATCATTGTTTTTGTCTTTTTATTCTATAATTTTATTTGAAAAGATGGAGAAACTGTTCTTCATTTAGCAGCAAGAAATAATATATATAAATGCTAAATAAGGATGCGGAGAAACTGCTATTCATGATGCAGTACATGGTGATAATGAAGAAACTGCAAAACTTTTTATTTCACATGGTGTTGTTAATAATTCTAAAGATAGAGCTGGAGAAACTGCTCTTTATATTGTAGCATTTCATGAAACTATAAAAATAGCAAAGTTTGGACAAACACCATATTTTATTTGCTTCGAATTCACATATTTTTAAGAATATCAATAGAATTGTTGAAATAATAGAATAAAAATCGAAATAAGCTTTGAATACGTCTATCTTGGTTAGCTTTCCAGCAGTAATTTGCTAATTTTCAATGAGATTGTGGTTTATATCTTGTAACTTGATCCTTTTTAGTAAGTGCACTTGTTATTAAAAGACCGGGGACTTCTAGATATAATTTACTATATACTGGAAGATTCTTTACTAATATATGTTTGGATAGCATTGTATACAATACTTATTATCTCTTCATCTCACTTTCCAACATCCTTTGTTGACATTCAGTAAGAGTTTCCATATTCTCAATTACTGGCATGTTATTTAAAAATTTGAATCCTGCTCGTATCTTCAACATGCATACAATGTCTGGTATTCAAATGGATCAATGGATAAAGAAATTTATTCAGGATAAATGATAAATGGGGTTACCATCTCCTAAATTGAAAATTTTCCGGACTGGCATCATTATCTGGAATAAGTGTGCATATCCTGCATTTATAAAGTTATTTTTGAAATTGCTTACATTTTTTCAGGAAAATTGAAGTTAAAAAGTGACAATTTTGATAAATAAATGAAAACCCTGAAATACCTCGTCCGAGAAATCGGAAAGTTGTATAATGGGCTTGTTGAATTGCTTCCTAATGTAGTTGCACATGGAGCTAAATTTCAGCTCTCAATGTGTCAATATCATAATTTCCTTCAATCATTTTCTCAGCGCGCAAGCAAAATCCCACTAACAGAAGCTCACATGAAAGCATTCATAACTATTAAGAAATTTTCACAGAATTATCAAGACATCTTCACTCAAAATTATTCTGATTGCTGGGCGCAGAATTTTTTAGAAAATCAAATAGACTATGTCCCTACACTCTTATGCCAATACGCGACAGCTTTACAAGAGGCTACGATGGATTTAGATCCAATTGGGGCTAGAGCATTCAATTCTGCTGCTCCTGAGTGGCTACAATATCATATCTTCGATTTAAAAGCCATTGAAGCCTCTCTGAATCAATATTTGGCAAATCCTGATTCTGATGATCAAATCACCGGAGTCGTTGAAAAACGAATCAACCAAATTCATGAATTTATTCAAGCATACGAAGGAAAGACGTTTGGAGAAAACGATGTAGTTTTTTCTCCGATTCCAATAATTTTCCAACAATGGCGACTTCTTTACTCAGACTTAGAGATCGAAAAAGAAATAGGAAGCGGTGTATCATCAAATGTATACATCGGCATATTAAAGAAAACAAAAGAAAAAGTCGCAATCAAAGCTTTGAAATTTGAACAACTCCAAGGTGCGAAATTAAATGCATTTCAACGAGAATTATCTGTACTTGCTTCTGCTCAACATGAATGTCTACTTCGCTTCGTTGGAGCAACAGATACTTATCCTTTCTGCATAGTTACGGAATGGATGCCAGGAGGCAGTTTATACAACGACCTTAATAATACAGGAAACCTTTCCCCAACGGAGAGGTCAATTGCAATGTTCGATATTGCAAGAGGAATGAGATGTTTACATAACAGACATATTATTCACAGAGACTTGAAAACTCTCAATGTTTTAATTGATGCAAACAATAGAGCTAAAATCATTGATTTTGGCTTAAGTCGCTACGCAAATGAACAATTTATGTCAGAAAGTATAGGTACACCACATTGGATGGCTCCAGAACTCCTTGGATCGTCCAAGCAATACGATTTGAAGGTCGATGTTTACGCTTATGCCATTGTTTGTTGGGAAATTTTGATGTGCGAAGTTCCTTACGAAGGATTGCTTCCTCCTCAGATTATTGCACGCGTACTTATTAATGATTTACGTCCGCCGCTCGAAGATGACTGTCCGCCTGGATTAAGAAGGTTAATTACTTCATGTTGGCAAAGGGACCCGAATATGCGACCATCATTCAACGAAATAATCACAATGTTCGCTAAATGTGATATTTACGTACCAGGAACAGATATGGAAGTCTTTGAAAACTACATCAAAACTAAAATTGCGGCAGAGACCGAAGATATCGACCAAAAGATGAAAACAGCTGTTGAAAGTGGCCAAGCGCTTTCCATTGTTAAGGTCATTGAAGAGAACGGAATTCCAGAAAACAGAGGAGATTATTTCTTAAGTTTAGTATCCGAAATCCGCGACTTTGACCTTAAAGTTCGAGGTTTGAAGCCATTCTTCTTCACTCCCCTTGCTTCAAAAGCCACTTTTTTGGTCAAGCAAATTGGATATGACAGATTAAGTCCATCTTCCATGGATTTATTGATCAATACCTTCCCAACAGGCAATGATGATGTCGATACTACCATATTCGTCATTGCCTGCAAAGCAAAACGCGAGACATCAGTAATTCTCAGATCCGTCAACGCCAGAAACGTTCAGCTTGCATTCGAGCTCATTTCCAGAGGTGGTGCCGAAAGTGGCGAAACTTTCAAAGCCGTAGTCGATGTCGCGGTTCACGCCGCTAACGATCACAGAGTTGACTCGATGTTGGCGGCTTCAGCTGTCAGATGTTTGGCCAAACTGGGTGCTCTTGATAAACTGGGAGTTTCCTATTTGATGAACAACATCACATCGACGGATCCAACCTTCATGGCTGTCTGTACTTCAGCTTTGGCACAAATGGTCGAGAAAGGAGCGAGATTAGATAATGATCAGATCAAAAGAGTTTACGATTCGATCAATGATAACTCGCTAGCAGTTCTTGTGTTGAGTATTGCTTGTAATGACCATGATAATGCTGAAACTATTGTTAGACTTGATTTGGCAAAGAAATTAAACCAAGATTTGGTTGCAACAATTTACTTGAGGGCTTGCCAACATAAGGATATTGCAGTTTCATTGAAACAGCAATTGGAAAGACTTTTGCCAACAATTCAAGATATTAATATTGTTAATTTAGTAAGATCAACATTGGATGCTATGTAATATTTATATTTCTTTATATTGTGTTTTTATGATGTTATTTCATATTATTATTTTTGAATAATAAACAATAATAATTTTTAATTTTCATTTTTTGATTTTCAAAACATTTTTGGAGAGGAAAACATTGTTTACCGGATGATTTGATTATGGATTATGTTTTTAGTATTCATAGAGAAGCATATATCCTATTTTCATTCTCTGATGTTCAAAAAAAAAAAAGACCAAAATTGATTGTCATATCTACAGGACCGTTATATTGAATCTGACAAATTTTAGATAAGGTTCAGTTTAAAACAAACAGATCAATGAAAGCATTAACATACTTTCATATTTCTTCGAACAAAGGTACATTCACTAGGCGATAACAGTAAAATGGGATGAAAATAGGATAAATAGCATCCCTATATAGTGCCTAACAATATTTATACGGGCCAAAAAAATTTGGCTAGAGATTTGGCGAGTTAGAAAACTTAGAAAATTGAGAGGGATTTTTATTTTTGAATTTTTTTGGAAAGTTAAAATTGCGATTAAAAATCGATTTCCAGGAGAACTAAGCATCTCATCATATATTTAAATCGATAATAATATTAAATAATAGTTGAATAGTATAACAACGTGAAATTATGGCTGAATCTACAGAAAAAATGAACATATTTGACATTTTTAAAAATTCATACGTTAGATGGTGACAGACTCATAAACTATACTTTAGCTAAGATTGATATATGGTTTCAACAACACATGGTGAAAATCGTAAAAATATTTTAGATTTCAAAAAGATATATATGGTAATATAATGGAACAAAGTCAACAAATAGCATGTTAAATATGTTATAATTAACTTTTTATTAGATCCAATAGTAGATATCGAATGGTTTCCAGCTTTATGGTTAAATATTTTCTTTTCGAGCTTCTCTTTAACTGTTGTATTAAGGTTGTAAATTTTTGATGCTAGAAACTATGGAATCTTCTTTGCTGCTGCATTTTTCTTGAGAGTTCTTGCAATTTCGAATAGATCTGCGCATTGTATGAAATGGAGGCTTTAAAATATCTTGAAAACAGAATAGGACTGCTTTTCCAAAGGAATGCTTACTTGTAAATCAGAGAGTTTCAAAATTGAGAGCAAGATTATCATCATAACTTTCGATTTTGCTGCGAAAAAGGAAAACAAGTAATTAACAAATCATTTACTGTTGTTCATCAAAAGAAGAAAACTTTGATAACAACTAATGATGATAAAATCAAGCTATCTTTTAATATTTTAAATTGATAAGACATTCAAAATATTTGAATGGTTTAAAATATTTTCTTTTAATTTCTATAAGATATTATCATGATTATATAATAAAATTTAAATTTTTATTCAAAAAGGCAATATTTCAAACTTTTAATTTCAAAAATCTTAATTCTGCAATAAGTGTATTTAATTGTAGCAAATTTAATGATCCTTCGTCATGCTTAGCAATTTGGAACTCATAAATTAATGATTTCTTCAAGTAAAATTCTGCATTATTTCAAAAGTCAATAATTCTCTAGTAACTTTTCTTCAAACCCTAACCATTATATTATATGTATAATGGAGAATAATTGCAAAGAAAGATAGCCGAATTTACTGGGTAGTTCTTGTGATGCGAAATAATTGCAAATTAACACCTAGTTTTAACAGCATCAATCTCTTTTTGCTCTCATTTAAATGCATTTGCACACTTTAATTTTGAAATATAAGAGTTTTGGAAATTATCAAATTTATCTGCTCAAATACTATAGATCTTCATAAGTGTTAATAGAATCATTAGCCTTACATATAGTGTTTAATATAATGATGCACATTATACTGGGATTCATTCCTTATTCATCTAGTTATTATAAGATTTACAACCCCATGAAAATTTAAAATTTTGTCAAAAATAGTGAATGTACCTTTCTTCGAACTAAATTATGGAATTGAGTTCGTACGAACAAAGTATTGATCGAATTCAATTAAAATCATGTTGTAAACAGAAATTCATCAAACGTGACACCTCAGAAAAGCTAAAATATTGAATTTTTGGAACTTTTGATAGAGCACGTTTTTAAATATTAATTAAAGTAAATGTATATTTTGTAAAGATTCTTTTTAATAAAAAAATAAAATTTTGAAGAAGAACACAAAATCTTCTGAAAAATAATATCACATAAACTCATATTATTTTCTAATATATAACTATTTTATATAAAAATCAAATTCAATGATCTTAAAAGCGAAGGATAAACCTCAAAATTTACGAATATAATGAGTGGGAATATAATGCTTATCTATCATAAAACCATATGAAATATCAATTTTTGCTTTACGCCTAATTTTTGACGACAATTAGCAAAAAATGTTAAATGTTAACACTCAGTCCATTTGAATATGAAAAATAAAATTGACTTTGATTAAATGTTTTTATTTATCATGCAATTCTTCTTGCGACCAAAGATTTGAATAAAAGTTCAAAAAATAAGATAGCTTAAAAAATAATATACGGTAGTGTTTACTAATAGATGAATAGTATATAAATTCTATTAAAATGGATTTGATCCAAAAAAATATAAAACCAAAAATAATTGTTATAATTTAAATGAAGAAGTAATTTAAAACGATTTTATTTATGATCAAATTTTATATATTTTTTGGATCAAATCCATTTTAATAGAATTTATATACTATTCATCTATTAGTAAACACTACCGTATATTATTTTTTAAGCTATCTTATTTTTTGAACTTTTATTCAAATCTTTGGTCGCAAGAAGAATTGCATGATAAATAAAAACATTTAATCAAAGTCAATTTTATTTTTCATATTCAAATGGACTGAGTGTTAACATTTAACATTTTTTGCTAATTGTCGTCAAAAATTAGGCGTAAAGCAAAAATTGATATTTCATATGGTTTTATGATAGATAAGCATTATATTCCCACTCATTATATTCGTAAATTTTGAGGTTTATCCTTCGCTTTTAAGATCATTGAATTTGATTTTTATATAAAATAGTTATATATTAGAAAATAATATGAGTTTATGTGATATTATTTTTCAGAAGATTTCATTCTATATGCCTATGAAAAGTACTCTCAAAACCAACTTTTTCCTAATTATAATTAAATCTAGAATATTGTATTATGCTTAGTATTATTTCATTTTTCTCATTCAATTTAGAATTTACAAATGTCAAAAAATTGAGAGCTGTCACTTTTGATGAATTTCTGTTTATTACAATCAAACAGATTTTTAATTTGGCTAATTAGTGATACAAATTTGGAAGTTAGTTTCAATAAGAAATTCATGAGATTAATTGTCTATCTTGCAAATTTTGTAAAGCTCCCAATTTGAATCGGAATATTGTTTCAAAAAATGCTTGTATTCTTAACTTTTGCTGATATTCAATTTCCACCACATACATTCAACGGAACAGATTACTATAACTATAATGACATATTTAAATTCCTTAGAGACACATATAACACAGACAACTTAACTTATGTTGATGCGGTAACTTTAACACCCTCTTCTACATACAATACATTGGGAGTAGAATATAGAACAGTATGCTCAGTAATTGTTGGAAATGTTACTGAATCACCAGGCCGATTTTTAACAGAAGATGAACCTTGGATTTTGAAACCTTACCTTCTTATAGATTTTCATCATACAAAAGTTAAATTAACATCATATACTATTTTGGTTAATGCCATCCATAATCGATACATGCAAGGTTTTCGAATTCTTGGGGAAGTCGAAACTGAAGTTTGGAAAGTTCTTGATGAACATAAAAATGTAACACCATTTCTTGATTCAAATGTTACAGATCAAGGCGATGTGATCCCTAATAATAAAAGACTTTATCGTTAATTCTATAACGTTACAAAAATTGGAACATACTCTCGATTTAAGCTCGAAAACATACAACCAGATTCATATGATGGTTTTATTAGCCCTCATGCTAATATAATTACAATCTCCAAATTATTATTCTTTGGAACTGTCTCAAATGGCAGGATTTTCTTCTCTCCCGAGAAGGTTAAGAAATCTTCTTCAAATCTTCTTAAACTAGGTGCTCTTTCTATTTTTAGCTAAACTTTGCGTGTTTGATGGTTTATTCTTAAACTTCTAACTTTTTTTCTTGATATTCCATATATCTGCAAATACCAAAGTGTTGAGGTTTATTTAAACACTTCGAGGCCAATTTTCTCTTGATAGAATAGATATAATTATACATAAACATGACGATACCATGCCCATATCATTATCTATCTATTTGTCGTTACAGATATCAAAGAAGAGATTTGATCAAAACCCTCTTTTCACTGAGAGCCCGCTGATCAAGATATCTCAAAATTGGTCGATCTGATGTTTATCGTTTATTGAAATTATATGAAAAGAGCCTAAATCTTTATTATGTTATTGAAAAAAAGTCAACAACTTAAATGTAAAGTACTCACAAAATCTAGATTGAGAGGCGGTAAATGACTTTTGAGGGGAAATTAACGCATGGAATTTAATATTATTTAGGTTGATATTCTTGCTTATTATTTCAGAAAAAAATTTCAATATGAAAATTGAAAGCAATTCAAAAAAATTGCTAACATGTAAATTTTAATATCCTATGCATAATTTCATATTTTGAACATTTTTTATTTTTGTTTAAAACTTAAAATTTTGCGAATTTAATATAATTTATAAAATATAATACGTATATATATTTAAAATACACTAAATTTAATTGTTAATTGACGTTTTTGGGAATGAATTTTATCAAAACATGCCTGAATCCGAAAATTTGAAAGAACGAATTACATAATCATATATGTAGAATTCAAAATACAAACTTAAAGATTGTATACGTTTAAAATTATTCAGATTGTGTTTGATTTCCACTCATTCTGTTTCTTTTGAACTCTAACACTAACATTTCATGATGATTACATGATCCATTTATACATGGTTGAATTGTTCCAGATTCTACCAGAAAATCAATCCAAATTTCTCAATGCATTCATGTTGATTGGACAAAATTTAAAATTTATCAGCCTGTTTCCAGAGAAACTCATATATTCCCTAATGAAATGTAATTTTTGCTACATTTATTTCAATCAAATTTCAAAAAATTGACTGCAGAGCTTGAAAAGGTGATGAATCATGTTGTTATTAGATGTACATATTAGATTTACTATTTCCAAAAAAATGCTCAAATTTGAATAGTTTTTAGAAAATTTGGAATTACACTCCTTACATTATATATAATTAAATGTTTAAATTTTATTTATTTTTCCCTTTTAATTTTATAACGTGCTCTATCAAAACTAACCTCTCAATTGAAGGCCACAAAATCTAAGTAGTAAGGGTACACAAATTTTGTATGGAGTACGGTTCAATTTTTGAGAGCCTCACTACTTAGATTTTGTGACTACCTTAGGTAAACTGCGAGTCAAAAGGCGTACCTACATTCAACTTTTTAAGAGAAGTCATACAATTAATTATATGAGTTTCTCTCAAAAAGTCGATTTCTGCCAAGTAAGCCTTTTGGACCACACAAACTGTTTGCTATAATTCGATATAGCAACAAAGAATAATAAAGCAGGCACATATGTAGGATGAACTAATAGGATTTTTTCAGGGTTAACTTCAAAATTTAAGATTTCGAAATTTACTTCAAGCTTCAAGCTCGAAATTTAAGCATAAATAGAAGCTACTATACTACCTATTGCATGTGCAGCTTATTCGAGCTCTCATATTTGATAATCTTCTCTCACTCTCAGTGAACGAACTGTTAGCATAAGCCTTTTGATTCACCTTTATTTGTCAGATTATTGTTCAGTACGATGATATTTAAAGTGACAATCACAATGATTTCATTTTTATTCATTAATCCACTATCATATTTTCCATTCAAAAGCCCAGTAGTTGAAGTCAATCAAGCAAACTGGGTTACAGAAGTCTCAAATTATGTTAAATACGGAATCTGTTTTTGTATTTTTGTTAAAAAGCACTCTCCAAAAACAAATGCAATTGTAAGTGAATTTTTTTTTCTTTATATTGTGTTTTTATGATGTTATTTCATATTATTATTTTTGAACAAATAATATTTTTTATTTTTCTAATTATTGTCAAGTAGGAATAGTTTGTCACTTTTTTAGCAACACCCTTATTTTCTAATATTGTTTATATAGTACTATACAAACAAAAATGGTTGTTCTATGCATAATTTTATGTCAAATTTCAGATACAATATTCTCAAAACTGCTTATTACTTTTTTTGTACACCCATGCTAACATTACTCACAAGCATGAATAGAAGCTGTATTTGTCAGATCAAACTTCACAATATTAAATTTCATAGTATTGAAAAATTGAATTAAAAACATCAGTCTTCAGAAAACTTTAAATTAGATAATTCTTTTATACATTTTATCAATAACAAAAAATAAGATTAATTGTAATCTTTTCAATTAAGTACTGAATTAGTTTGATCAATGTTTTCCATATTATTCTTTGCAGATATCAAGTTTGAACCGCACACATTCAATGGAACAGATTATTACAACTACAATGACATTTTTCATTTCCTGAGAGAAATCTACAATACTGATAATCTGACAAAAGTCGATGCTGTAACATTAATCCCTTCATCCACATACAAAACCCAAGGTGAATCGTATAGGACAATATGTTCCGTCATTGTTGGAAATGTCACAGAATCACCCGGACGATTTTTAACAGAAGATGAACCTTGGATTCTGAAACCGTATCTTCTTATTGATTTTCATCATACAAAAGTTACATTAACATCCTATACAATATTACTAAATGCTGCTTATCCTCGATTTATGCAAAGTTTCCGGATTCTTGGAGAACTCGAAACCGACGTCTGGAAAGTAATTGATGAACATCATAATTACACACCATTTATAGATCCAAATATCACTGATACGGGTGCGATAATACCTAACAATAAGAGACTTTATCGTTATTTCTTCAACGTCACAAATGCCAAAACATATTCTCGTTTTAAGATTGAAAACATTGGTCCAGATTCATATAATGATAAAATAAGCCCTCATGCTAATATCCTTTCAATTTCCAAATTATTATTCTTTGGAACTGTCTATAATGGAAGAGTTTTCTTTTCACCACAGAAAGCTAAGCAATCTTGTTCGAAGCTTCTTAAGCTAGGAGCTCTTTCTATGTACAATTGATTTATATTTTGTTAAACCATAATTATATCAATAACTTTTTCATCTTTTTCCAGCTAATTCATTTTATCATATTGAATAACAGACTTTTATTTGGATTTCTGAAACTTCGGGGGCACACCGGATTCAAAACTGTTTTCATTGATAATATATGGTCATTTGGCATAATGATGTTTTGTAGATCACATTCATTAAGATGTTAAATAGAAAACAGCAATCTTCGCAGCCAATAACTTTGGCATGCATTGATGATGCAAAATTAGGAACAAATCTGAAAACCAGTGAAATTTATATTTCACATATTCCAGAGATTAATTTTTTTCGGCATTTTCTTAGAGATATGTTATATCTTTGACGGATACTTTCTATTACTACATTTTTTGCTCATCAAAAACTATTTCACTTATCAAAAGATTTTGTTCAGAACGATGTTATAAAAAGTGACATTTATGATGATTTCATTTTTATTTTGTAATTCACTCTCATACTTCCCATTCAAAAGCCCAGTAGTAGAAGTAAATCAAGCAAATTGGGTAACAGAAATCTCAAATTATGTTAAATACGGAATCTGTTTTTGTATATTTGTTAAAAAACACTCTCCAAAAACAAATGCAATTGTAAGTGAATTTCAAAAAGCAGCTAACAAGTCTGCCGGAATGATTAAGTTCATTTCACTCGATATTGAAGAAAATCCAAAACTAGCCCATTTACATACTGTTCGTCAAGCACCTGCTTTTAGAATTATCACAAGTTCATCATCCGTCGAATATCGTGACGAACATGTAGCCGATGCTTTCATTAAAGCAGCAACAAAATACATCAAAAATTACGCTCAAACAATTGATGCATCATGGGCTCCGTCAGCAAAAACACCACTATCTGCAATACTTATAACAAATAAGAAGGCAGTTCCTCCATATTGGGCGGCTCTTTCGAATAAATATTATGAAGCCAACATTAGAATAGGTGTAAACCGAAACCCAGCCATAACAGAGCTTTTTGGTGTCAAAGAGCAGAATTGCATCTTATTTGTTTTCAATAATATTGTTTCAGTTTATGAAGGTCAGCTTACATTCACAGCAATCGATGAAGCTCTGGAGAAATTCGTTGCTAATCCAAGCCAAAGTGGAACTACTGATACATTGATCGGAGAACTCGATTCTAAAGAAAGAATCGATACTCTCTGCCATAATACAGGAAAAGTATGCGTTCTTGAAGCATCACAAGAGCCATCAAATGAATACCGTGATGCAGCAACAAATAACAAAGATGATCGATTTAAATTTTACGTTTGTGGCAAAAATTGTCCGTTCAACAACATGAAAGGATACTATATCTTCCATCATCGTAACGATAAGGCAATGAAAGTCGAAACAATTCAAGAGCTTCCTACTGCTTTAGATCATGTCGTTGATGGAACTGCAAGATATTCACTTTATCAGAGGCTGTTCAAGAATAATGAAGATTTGTAATTAAATGTCGTGTAAATAAAATTGTATATTTTTGTATTTTTTTTTTTAAGCTTTTATAAATAAAAAATTAACTGTAATTAGCTAACAAACAATCTTAAAGCAAATATTTACTAATAAAATATAAAAATGTTATTTTGACGAGCTTGATCTATGATGATGCCTTGAGCTAGATCTATATTCATGACGAGAATTTTCATTAGACTTTCTTGAATCAGATTGCTCTGAGTAATAGTCAGATTCTGAATCTGAACTTGGTTGTGAACCAGAATCAGAAGAATAAGAATCTTTTGTATGTCTGTGGTGATGTCTTCTATGATGCCTATGATGTCTATGATGATGTCGTCTTGATCCATCCGAAGAACGATAAGAGGATCTCTTTTCATGATCTCTTTTATTCAATTTGGAATCAGAGTTTTGTATTTCACCATTTTGGTTATTATTTTGATCGATATTCATATCTGGACCCGCAAGAATTCCGACATTTAATATTGGATTTTGACAAATACTATAATCTGGTAATTGCCCTTTAATCTTTCTATCACGTATTTTATCGAATGCATGCTTGCAGTATTTTTCATCGATGAAGTTTAAATAACCAATTGAAATTCCTTGAGAACCTGTTTCAAGATCAACCGAAACAATTCCATTATATTTAAAATCGCCTACATGCTTCTCAGCGAATGATATGAGGTCCTCTTCCGTTATTGATTGAAGAGGGGAAATCGAAATAGTCATTTTTGACAATTTTCGAATTTTAAGGGTGCACACGAGAGGATCATGTAAACTTCAGAATTTAGAACCTTATTTTTAGGCATTATCTTGGCTACCTATTTAGGCTCTAAAAGCAAAAAATATCAAAAAATACAACTTGACTCCATTATGACCCTTTCATGGAGGTAGTTTTTATCCGCTAGTATTTTCCCTTTGAATCTCTTTACAATTCGAAATCAAATTCAAACCTCAGTAGAAGAAAGGAAGAATCGACTTACTACGGTTGTAATACGAATAAATACATATATTTAATTATTTTTATTTACATAATAATTGTTTGAAGCTCATATTCCATCAAATTTTTAAATAAAAACATTAAAATGTTGAAAATGTTCATATATTTTAATAGGGTTTTGGCACTTTATTGAGGAATTACTACATACATAGTCGAACTGAACTTGATATTTTGAAATTTAAATTATTTATCAAAATTAAAATTTAACTTGAAATTTATAATTATTTAGTCATATTTTGCATAATTCTAAGTAGATTTTGTAAAAAATCAAGAAAGAAAAATTTTAACGTTCTTTATTTTTTCTTTTTTATAATAATACATATTATTATATAATTAACATATTCATAATGTTTCACCCTTTCAAAAATATAATCCTCCTCCTCTCAAATAAACGTACATACGGGTGGCCTCTTTTTTCAAAAAATTAAAATTTGAAATTTTGGGCTCAAATATTAGAGATTTTTTCAACCTTCAACGATATATGTTGTCTATATCAGACCTCCTTTCTTTTTGATACTTAACATTGTTCCTAAATCTTAGCCGTTAAGGCTGTTCTGAAAATATTTTTTTTTCGAAAAAATTCGAAAAAAATTCTTAAAATTCAAAAATCCCTTAATTCCTGAGGATTTTGGAAAAAAGTTTTTACATGAACATGTGTATATTATATGAAGTATATTGATAAGGTAAAAATCAAATTTTATTGCATATTCATCGAGAAAATAAACTAACGAATCCCTCAAAATTGAGAGGGTAATCCTCCTCCTCTCAAATAAACGTACATACGGGTGCACCCTTAAATTTTTGTGGTTCAACTAAGAAAAATGAATGGTACATGCATGAAAAGTGACACTCCTCTTCTTTTTTCCGAGGGTTACTGATCGCTTCCTTTCTGCTCGTTTAGAAGTCTCGCACACGTACCTTTGAAAAATGTACAGTGACTCGATTTGAGGAAAATCAACTAGAGCTTGTTTTTGCCTGATATAACTTTATCCAGGTCAACTTTTTGTAAAAAAGTTTACAAATTTGGATGATAGAAATTGAGACCATTCAGGGCCTCTAACCTCAAAATTAAAAATATCTAGGGTATTTATATGAGTCATATCTCCCTATGTATTTTATCAAATCAAATCAAAAAAAAAATTAATGCTTCACTTACGCCCATCTGCCTTTAATTCAAATTTTTGACAACTGTCGTGAAGCGTCATTGAAAATTAACCTTAAACACCCGAATTGAATGCCATGTCATAGGGTTGTAAGTGCACCCTTAAAAAAGCCTTCATCTGGACACTGCAACAGAACATAACCATCAGAACTTTTTCAATGCATGTTGATTCGGATGAACCCTCTTATGGTTGATTATATTTTGCAATTTCAGTATATTTCGTTAAAAACCATTCGAAGTAATAGGATAGCATCTAAAATGAAACACGTTTACAGAAACAGACATTGTCCCGGCTGAGTTTCTGCACTTCAAATTCTACATTCATATTTTTCATAAGGTACAGACACTTTTTTTTCTTTGGGTTTCATAAACTATTGAAAAAGAACATTCCATCTTTTTGCGTAAATGATGAAAATTTCGAAATTGAAATATTCACGATATAACGCAATTTATTGAAAAAGAACATTCCATATCTTTACACCACATAACATAGCACAATTTTCTGGGTCTCAGAAATTTGACAGGTCCTGGAAGTTTTTGATTCAATTTTTGAAGAGTTTGTTTGATTCCGATATGAGAACGATAGAAAACACTTTTTGTAAATATTGTAGACTATTCAAAATTCCCCACAAATATAAGTGTTTCTGTGGACAACTGTTTTAAGTAATGCCCAGAAAACCAATAATTATGGAAAGAAAATTGTAAAAATTATAATTTCATGTGTTTATTTTCAATGGAATTATATCTTTTTCAATTTAGAGTTAGTTTAGCCTTTTCTTTTTGGTGTGTTTAACGATTGCCATCGAAAGAGGGTGATTCAACAATATGAGCTTCTTAAAACAATAATGAATATATGTTTCATAAAACAATGAAGGATATGAAAAGAAAAAAAAATTCCTAAAATAATGATGAATATGAAAAGAAATAGAATTTCGTAAAACAACGAGGAATATGAGTTTCATAAAACAACGAAGAATATGAAAAGAAATAGAATTTCATAAAACAGCGAGGAATATGAAAAGAAATAGAATTTCATAAAACAACGAAGAATATGAAAAGAAATAGAATTTCATAAAACAACGATGAATATGAAAAGAAATAGAATTTCATAAAACAGCGAGGAATATGAAAAGAAATAGAATTTCATAAAACAACGAGAATATGAAAAGAAATAGAATTTCATAAAACAGCGAGGAATATGAGTTTCATAAAACAACGAAGAATATGAAAAGAAATAGAATTTCATAAAACAGCGAGGAATATGAAAAGAAATAGAATTTCATAAAACAGCGAGGAATATGAGTTTCATAAAACAACGAAGAATATGAAAAGAAATAGAATTTCATAAAACAGCGAGGAATATGAAAAGAAATAGAATTTCATAAAACACGAGAATATGAAAAGAAATAGAATTTCATAAAACAACGAAGAATATGAAAAGAAATAGAATTCATAAAACAGCGAGAATATGAAAAGAAATAGAATTTCATAAAACAGCGAGGAATATGAGTTTCATAAAACAACGAAGAATATGAAAAGAAATAGAATTTCATAAAACAGCGAGGAATATGAGTTTCATAAAACAACGAAGAATATGAAAAGAAATAGAATTTCGTAAAACAGCGAGGAATATGAGTTTCATAAAACAACGAAGAATATGAAAAGAAATAGAATTTCATAAAACAGCGAGGAATATGAAAGAAATAGAATTTCATAAAACACGAGAATATGAAAAGAAATAGAATTTCAAAACAACGAGAATATGAAAAGAAATAGAATTTCATAAAACAGCGAGGAATATGAAAAGAAATAGAATTTCATAAAACAGCGAGGAATATGAAAAGAAATAGAATTTCATAAAACACGAGGAATATGAAAAGAAATAGAATTTTAAAACACGAGGAATATGAGTTTCATAAAACAACGAAGAATATGAAAAGAAATAGAATTTCATAAAACAACGAAGAATATGAAAAGAAATAGAATTTCATAAAACAACGAGAATATGAAAAGAAATAGAATTTCATAAAACAGCGAGGAATATGAAAAGAAATAGAATTTCATAAAACAGCGAGGAATATGATAGTTTCATAAAACAACGAAGAATATGAAAAGAAATAGAATTTCATAAAACAGCGAGAATATGAAAAGAAATAGAATTTCATAAAACAGCGAGGAATATGAAAAGAAATAGAATTTCATAAAACAGCGAGAATATGAGTTTCATAAAACAACGAAGAATATGAAAAGAAATAGAATTTCATAAAACACGAGAATATGAAAAGAAATAGAATTTCATAAAACAGCGAGGAATATGAGTTTCATAAAACAACGAAGAATATGAAAAGAAATAGAATTTCATAAAACAGCGAGGAATATGAAAAGAAATAGAATTTCATAAAACAACGAAGAATATGAAAAGAAATAGAATTTCATAAAACAGCGAGGAATATGAAAAGAAATAGAATTTCATAAAACAGCGAGAATATGAAAAGAAATAGAATTGTAAAACAACGAGGAATATGAGTTTCATAAAACAACGAAGAATATGAAAAGAAATAGAATTTCATAAAACAGCGAGGAATATGAAAAGAAATAGAATTTCATAAAACAGCGAGGAATATGAGTTTCATAAAACAACGAAGAATATGAAAAGAAATAGAATTTCATAAAACAGCGAGGAATATGAAAAGAAATAGAATTTCATAAAACAACGAGAATATGAAAAGAAATAGAATTTTAAAACAGCGAGGAATATGAGTTTCATAAAACAACGAAGAATATGAAAAGAAATAGAATTTCATAAAACAGCGAGGAATATGAGTTTCATAAAACAACGAAGAATATGAAAAGAAATAGAATTTCATAAAACAGCGAGGAATATGAAAAGAAATAGAATTTCATAAAACAGCGAGGAATATGAGTTTCATAAAACAACGAAGAATATGAAAAGAAATAGAATTTCATAAAACAGCGAGGAATATGAAAAGAAATAGAATTTCATAAAACAACGCAGGAATATGAAAAGAAATAGAATTTCATAAAACACGAGGAATATGAGTTTCATAAAACAACGAAGAATATGAAAAGAAATAGAATTTCATAAAACAGCGAGGAATATGAAAAGAAATAGAATTTTAAAACAACGAGGAATATGAGTTTCATAAAACAACGAAGAATATGAAAAGAAATAGAATTTCATAAAACAGCGAGGAATATGAAAAGAAATAGAATTTCATAAAACAACGAGAATATGAAAAGAAATAGAATTTCATAAAACAGCGAGGAATATGAGTTTCATAAAACAACGAAGAATATGAAAAGAAATAGAATTTCATAAAACAGCGAGGAATATGAAAAGAAATAGAATTTCATAAAACAACGAGGAATATGAAAAGAAATAGAATTTCATAAAACAACGAGAATATGAAAAGAAATAGAATTTCATAAAACAGCGAGGAATATGAGTTTCATAAAACAACGAAGAATATGAAAAGAAATAGAATTTCATAAAACAGCGAGGAATATGAAAAGAAATAGAATTTCATAAAACAACGAAGAATATGA